TCCTATTTTAGATTGGTCTTTTTTCAATGTTGATAGAAACGCTTTTGATTTATATTTTTACCAAAACATTTTATATTACTAAGAATTATGTTGACTACAAATCATTATACTGACATTCGTCCTGCGTATCCGAATGAAAAATGATATTTTCTCGTAATTATGTATCAAAAGAGGTGACTAGATACTGCGACGTCCTGAAGATGAACGTCAAAAAACACTTGAAGATAAAATGAATTAAATTCATAATCGCACATAAACGTGTCAGGTTGAATTACATATTCCTAAGCTCTTCAATCATATAAAAGAGTAAGTATCATAGTTCAAGGATATTCTAATTATGCTTGAACACCTTGCTAACATAAGGGATAACCAAAGATTTAATCGCCCATAGATAAGTCATATGCCTTAGTATTTATCACATCTTATGATATGAACAGCTAAATTACATCAAAGTTTTACGTATCTACACTCTGATACAAAAAACTTAAACGACATGAATATTTCTCAATTATAAAATTACTACCAAATTATAACTTTATTATTTTACCTAAATATTATTGGATGCTTAATCTACAAAAGAGCTCTCTATTACGCAATCAAGTTAATATAATTCGCTAATGTAATTGACAAATTTTCATAAGTTTCTTTTCAATTGAAATTGCAAAGTACACGAAGTTTCACAGCCACAAAGTAGTTTTTTTCGAAATACTAACTAAAGTGTAGTTGATATCACGAGTGTTACATGTTTAGCGAAACTCAAAAATGTACGGAACAGCTTTAGTAAAGAATTACGACACGCGAGCTGAATTTCATTATTCACTACATTTAACATAACACACAGTCATCGATAAATGATCAGAGAAAAGGTCAGATATGAAACGACCTGAAATGTTTTGGGGAATATCATATTTAAATTTGCAAGCTGTACTAATAACACTGACAAAATGGCACTGTTAACACGTATAATTATGATGAGGTTCATTACTCTAAGCTGAGTGCAATGATTGTGAAGCTTTCATTGCCTTTCTAAATAACTTCTTAAGTGAAAACCTCAGATTCAGCAACCTATGAAAGCAGTAATAAAAACCTTAAGTCAAGAATCATGTCAGCGGAGCAGAAAATTTTAAAAAAATATACAAGCAATGATTGGTCAATCACCATCGACTAGATTCAACGTTGACAAAAAAGCTATTAGTCATACACAAAGAAATCTGAATAGTTCACTTCTACCTAAAGTTTATACTGATGTTGTTATTGAGGTAAGGAACCAGAGTTTTATCATTTAAACCACTAAGCTAAAAGAACAGAAATTTACTAATATTATCGTTCAGAGAAACAAATCGTTTTCGTCATCACAGATTATTTGACGAGTTAACAACAGTTTCATTGTTGAGTAAATGTACCTGAATTATAAGGACTTTAATACGTATCATGTATTATCTGTGGTTACGCGGATAAATTGTGGTTCATCAGATATATATACTATTAAACACTGTACTAAACGTATGAATCGTATTTCGATGATGAACAAAACTGAATATCTACCTATTCACTTTACAAACCTTTATTTTCACTTCTGATTTGTCAATTATTTAGTATGGGGGATTTGCGGAGATTATAGTATTACTGAAAACCTGGAAACACTTGACAACTGTTTCGTCCTAGTATTGGAGCTCTCAGCAGTACGCATCCAATCAAACAATTATATCTTCACCATTGACTAACCTCGAGATGACACTCCCGGAGTTTGAATGAGAAGCCATGACCGGTGGAGTTGAACAGTGTTGATTGTGAATTGCGATTAACCTCAGGCAATGGAGGCAATGAAGGGTTATACAAGATCATGGATTGACTGAAGTTAGACATTAACATCGTTGGATACCGGCTCAGTGGTCCAGAGATGAAGCGTTTGAGTGCAAAACCGAAGATCCTAAGCTCGACACCCACGTGCGGGATCGTGGATGCACACTGTTGTTGAGTGCTATATTAGGACCGAACGGCTGTTCAGCGCCTCTTATTTTGAATGGTGATCCAGCTTAGTCATTTATTTGTTAACTGATCAATAATTCATACTCTTTTGGTTGATAAGATAAAGAAGCATTGACCAATTAGTTTGTTTTAATTTTGATACCTATACCTGTTAGCTCTTAACCTATTTCGTTCCTCTATGCTTGAAAAGAAGACTGTTTGATGAATATATGTGTCAGGTTCTATATTGCTTATGGATAATTGACAAACCTTTCACTACACATATTACAAAGTCTAACTACTTCGAAGTGAATGTTTTTCTTTTAAAATTTCATTAGAAATGTGTTTTTGGGGATGGTTTTTGTCAAAACGGACATGTTCTGCATAAGTACATTTTCCTATAAAATTTAGTACTTGAGTGATTTACTGAAATATGCGAAATTCAGTTTAACAAGGTCTTTTTATAATGTAAGATTGCTTAAATAAAGGGTAACTAAGTTAAAACTTGCGTTATTTACATACAAACAATTTGATACAGTAAACCTATTATTCAGCTATTAGTTGGTTGTTTAATGGTTGATCTACACATTAATAATGTTATATTTGCATTGATACTTAACTTTTAAATAAGTTTATTTTATGGTTGAATGTTATGCTTATAAGTATGTTATTTTACAATTACTTTAAAATAATTTACACCTAAAACTGAAATCATCTTCAAACATGTTAGAAAACACGGAAAACTAAACTTCTATTAAATCTCATTTCAGGACAACTCTCAAATAAGTATCCACAACCATATGGGATTAAACCTTAAACCTTCAGTATTTCAGTGAGCAAAATATTGTTTGGATCATTGAACTGGGATACAATAATTCATAATATCATCCTTCACAAGCAAGTAATAATATGAGGTCTTCATAGAAGATAAATGGTTAGTTGATATTTGATCAACAGTTAATAAATCCAAAGTACCTTTGCTTGTAGAACTTTAACTCATTATGTTGACGTAAAGAGAAATATGTTTTTTTAGTTATCAAAGCTTTATGGAGATTGGTTTAACCAGTAGGCTATATATGCCACATACAATGATCTCATTCGCGGTACCGCTGAAAACCTAAGAACACAGGACAGCCATTTCATCCTAATATGGGACTCTTAAGAAGCAAACACTTACAACCTTATTAAGGATGTAACTCAGAAAATGCAGGTTTCTTGGTGAACGCTTAGATTTTAGAACGACTGGGGTGGCATCTAACGTTACATTTCGTTTTAAGTTTCCAGGAATTTCTGAATAAAGTCTTCAGAAGCCAGGTAAAGGTCGAAAACATCAAACTCAATCAGCATCAAATAAAAACCTCACAGAAATATTCAGAAAAGCTATTATAAATTTTAATTCCATTATATAAATGTTTATTTTGCCTTCGATTCGAGCGTATTTTCTTTACATAAATCTATCTCACAGTAACGCTTCTGCTCTTATCGCTCGCCTTTCTTCACTATTCGAGACTCAAGCGTTCGAATATTTGCGTAAACTGAGAAGCATTATCATCACAGTCCTAACTTCGATCATTTGGTGAAATAAAGTGTCAATCATTAGATGCCAGTGGTGGGAAGCATGTTACACCTGACATATTTGAGCTCCATTACTCATGAATTCACGAAAGAACTCCAAGAATATCCAGAAGTTAGTCACTAGTCAACTGACTACTATAGTTTAGTTGGAAGGGTTTGCAGAGATTTGTCTAGTTTGTATATGGTTTATGTAACAGATTAGTGTTAGTTGAGGTAACACTGAAAACCAGGAAACACAAAACAGAAAGATATGAGCAAAGAAGGATAGTGGCTAGCAGTGGAATTCAGGACACGTGTTTCGTCCTATGTGGGGCTCGTCAGTTGGATGTGCCTGAACCTCAGAATTAATGTTCACCCCAAGACTCGAACTCACTACTGTTCGCCTCAAACGTCATCGCGTCATCTACCTAGTCCTGATAGCCACTTGTTTGTGTAATGGGATAAAGTTTAAATTCACTTAGTACTGTTTGTTTGAATCTTCCCAATTGATGTTTAAGACTGTACTTGATCAGTAAATATATTTTTATAAGTTATAGAACTGTAATCGAGGAAGTCTCATTAGATCAAACTGTTTAAATAATATATATTTAAGCATACATACTGAATAAAGATACTTTAATTAAAAAGATAACTTCTCAGGATAATATAGTATTACTATGACTTGTTTTTTTATTGTGTAATCAATGGATTAATGAAATTCAGCTTACGAATAGAACAGTAGAAGACTTTCTTAATATCAACAATGAATAAGAAGTGAATAAGTAATTTTCAGTTTCAATTAACAACTTACAGATTTGACCACTAATTTCCACAAACTATGATTCAAGTAGATGAAGTAAAATCATTAGTTATAACATCAATAATATATGATTCCAAGTGAACTAAATGAACCTGTTCATAGTAAATGAGTACATATAAACTCTTTCATTTACATTTCAGTAGATTCAGTAAATTTCAATATCTTTCTCATACACTACAATAAATGATTCTATCAAAATGATGCAACACTGACAACTTTTAATATAGTTTACATATAAATTTATTATTTTTCCCCTTTTTCCAGTTTTTTTCAAAAAAGAGGAAAGTAGGACAAATTCGGAAAAAATCGAAAATAAAAAAGTTGTCAAACTACAAAAATCAATATTTACTACTACTACTACTAATAATAATAATAATATTATTATTATTATTATTGTTATACTAGAAACATGGTCTTTTTAAATATTTTCAGTCCGGAAATGTTCTCTAATAATAAAAATAAATCTAAAAAGGGTGATCAAAGGAGAATGTTTTATGACATGATCAAAGACTACGCTTTGACATGCTCTATTTTTATACACAAGAATCAATGAAATTCAATAAGGTGTGCCCATTTCTCTCTTTTCTTAATATTTTTGACCAAAAAACACTAGTCACTTTTCACATTTACAAAACAAAAAAATAAAGAAAAAATTTAAAGCCATTCGGTATTTTGATAGGAATTTCTTTAGTTGGGAAAATTTAAAGGAATTACAAACTGGCACACATACATGATGAGTATACGGCTAAATGAATATAGATATTTTTCATAGGAATAAGTAAAGTTATACAGTGAAATAAAAGATGAAGAAAGTTAAAGAACATAAAACAGCTATAGTGATTATTGTCATAGTCGATAAACTCATTTTTATTCAGCCTCCCAAAAATTTATTTGGTTGAAAAATGAAAGGGGATTTAATACAAGGTATTGGTTCATGAAATTATAGACTGCTAGTTTGAGTTGTGTTGAGTGATGGAAATATTCTGCTAGGCGCTCACATAGTTGTTATAATCCATGGTTGGAAACCCTTTGGAATATAGTGTACAAACGATCTCAATGGTACAATTGCATTAGTTTTATGTTTCCCTCCAAATTTCATGTTAAAAATCACTTTTAAACTTTCATTCCTCAATTTCTGATTTACAGGTCTTTACCACAGTTAAAAATATTCTCACTTTCTTCCTTCACATTTTGTTGAAATGACGTTTAGCAAATTGTATAAATCCATATTCTTGTTAGAATTTATGTTGACAACTCACAACACCTAAACCAAATGAGTTTATACGGTTTAAACTGCCCAGTACAAATAGGGATAGAATCAAGACTAAAATATGGGCTAATCAGGTGAATACAAAATGATTTAGAATTTTAATTATAAGGTATTGCTTTTAAACATCATCTATAATTTAGTCACTATTAATAAATAAGATTGACTATAAGTCTTAACTCCACTTAGATTACCAACTAACAAGAAACCTAAATTGAGAATCTCTTGGTGATCCCCACCAACAACCGACGACAATACATAATGAACTATCATACAGCATCATTTAGACTAGTAGCTGCATGGCAACTTTATTAATAAGAAATCATTTATAATTTAAGAATAAACAACATAATACTAGTAGTTAATGAGTAGATTATATATATATAATCCGAAGTCTACTTACTCCAAGTCAACACGAAATAGTTTAGATTGGATCCTGTCCTCGTTCTCTTGCTCAATTTTAGTTCCTTTATGGATAAAAGTTAAATAAAACATTGTTATAAAAAATATTGACGACAATAAAAGTTCAATCAACTAAGTGAAATACTTCATTAAAGGTTGTGCTGTACATCAAAAATATGACCTAATACTTAAAACATAATTTTTTGAAAATATACCTCATAATATCCTAATCTTAAACTAGATAGCTACATCATTCCAGTTAAGCGTATGATTGAGTGAGAATAATTAGTGAGCAAGACAAATCATTTTGTTATGCCAATTTTAACCCAACCTTACCATACTACCTCTATGTTCAAACATATCTATGAAGACCAAGATTTTAACTTTTCAAGTAGTTGCTTTAAAATCAAGTGTATCAAATACTAAGCCTTAGCTTCATTCTCTATATAAAATAATAATATACACGATTCCTAGTTTAGATACTAACATATGCTTGCTTAATAGAACTAAGCTATCATTGTAAACCAAACTAAACACAGAAAACAAAACAAAATAATTTTTTGAGCAAAGATGGATAATGGCTAGCAGTGGAAAAGTAGTTGCCGAAGTAAGTAAAAAGTTGTTTAGACATGTAATTCAATAGTCAGAAATCTATTATTTATATCACTAAGTAACTCCACGTTTTCATCAGCAGATCATTCAAATAAATTAATCTATTCTAGACTGTATTATAACCAGAGGTGGTTAGTTACTAGCAGTGTAATCCAAAACTCGCGTTTCGTCCTACTTGAACTTGTCAGTTTTTGTGAATTAATGACAATATCGAAACGATTCGCACAGGATGCACGTTTGCTAAAAAAACTGGTCAATTACAGCCCTAAACATTAACCAGAAGATTCAAACAACTGATACAAAAGAACTATTCTAGACTGTGTTTATAATTAATGAAGCTTTAAAAGTATTGAATTTAGTGGGAGAATTAAGACCTAATCAAATATTGAACCCTACGAAGTCAGTTATGATAAAAAAATAACAAAATCATTCTGAGATAACATTCATATATGTAAATATAATTGTACATAAGTAAATCGTGGAGATAAAGTCAGACACTCAAACTTTTTTCAAAGGAATGTGTTGTGAAAGATGGTCTTGTTCAACTGATATATATTAACAAGATAAATAAATCTATTCTAGAAAGACCTTTATTATAAGCAGACTATAGATCGTATTAGAGAATTTTGTAATGGTGGGAAAGATTTGTACCTCAAATGAATTTCGTCCTGTGAGCCGGATGGTTTGAACATGGAGCTTTTACATAAATTTATTTAGTAAGTTATTTTATCAGTTCACGTTGGGCTATCTACCTCTAACCTCAACTGATTTCATATGACTAGTTTAATGTTTATTCAAAACACAATCTATTTAATAACTAGAATAACAATTCAAAGCTGTGAAATTGAAAATAACTAACAAAAACTAATATAATCTGATCTACCAGATAAATATGTAGAATCCACCCATTTCAACTTATCTGCAATTTTGTAAACAATGCCTCTTGAATACAAATATTCCTAGATAAGAATACATTTTCTTTGCAAGTAATGGGTTATATACTGTTAAATGTTGACTTGACTTTTAAAAGTTATCGGTCAGAAGACAATTCAAGCCGGAAGAATTTCTTTTCACTCAAGTATTGTTTTGATTGGAAACTGACGTCATACGCCGATGTCACATAGTACGAAATAGTATTCCAGATAAATGTAAAAATGTTTTTGATTTAGATCATTAACTGATTGATGTTAGACCACCATTTAAAACCTGTAAGCACTGGACGGCCGTTTCGACCTATTGTGGGACTCCTCAGCAGTCCGCATTCACGATTCTGCCCACAGGATTCAAACTCATGGCCTTCAGTCTCGAACTGGAACGCTTAACCTCTAGACCACTGAATCAGCATCCCAACGGTGTTAATGTCTAACCTCAACCAATCCACCAAACTGAGCGACTATCTTCCATTGTACTGAGGTAGATACCTGTCTCTAACCGACACGGATTAGCTACACTGGTCACGGCTTCTCACTAGAACTCCGATGATTCCCTCACGAAGCTAGTCATTAGTGAGCACATGTTATAAAAGAGTATAAGTCTTGGACGAGGAAAAAAATTTTTTCAATGACTTTCCACGATTTTCTAGTTGATAGAAATATATTCATAAAGGGAACCAATCGCATCATAAAAATAACTTTGAAGCTGTTTCTTAATTATATAAGATCTCAATTGAATCACCTAAGATAGCTTTAACTTAGCTGGACTTAAATTGTATTTCTATCCATCACGATTATTTACATTTTTGAAAACTGCAAATAAATACATTAACTATTTATAACTCATGTAAATTTTATCATAATTTAACCTCTTTTTAACTACCTCGTATCCAAAGTTGATAAATGCCTTGTCTTCCATTTAATTTTTCTTTTCTTTCTTCATGATTCACATGACTGTCATTTTCAACTTCCTGAATAGTTGATTTTGTTGAACGAGAAGTCAAACATAATTGATGATAGAATTCAACATTATCTACCCATTGTTCACTGACTTCTGGGAATAAACTAACGGTCCCTGTGTTTAGATTAATAACATATGGGTCAGGTAAACTAATTTGAATAGAACTTTGACAAAACTGATCTAGATCATGGTCAACCACTTGGTTTGATTGATGTATTTCGATATTATGTTTAACCAACTGTTGGTGATGCAGGCAATTTTGTTGATGATCCAGGGGATAAACGAGCAAATCCTTCGATGAGACTAAACAGACAACAATCTAAATTTTTTTTAGAAGAAAAATATCACTTAACAAAAATGTAAACGCAATCTTACTAAATAATTAGAGATTGTTGGGACGGTATATCCCCAAAATTCATATTTGTAATTTTATCATATCGAGTGACTCATCGATTAGATATTTAAATATTTGAATGAAGTCAAATGATGAACTTATCGATTAAATATTCGAATGCCTGTCGAGTGATGAACTGAATGAGTCATGTTTAAAAAAACATTTTAATATGACAATATCGATTATATATATATATATATATATATATATATATATATATATATATATATATATATATATATATATATATATATATATATATATATATATATATATATATATATACGTTTAAATTGTGTCTGAGTGTTCGCTGCTGCTTGCTTGCTCGCTCGTTTCTCTGGCCGTTTGCAGAATATATTTTCCATACCAAGCCTGGACTTCTCCTTCTAGATAGCGGGGCTGGGACACGTCAATAGTTAGATCACTGGTCTTTGGTCACTGAGTATTGTTCTCGTTCGCAGTTAGGTGAACTCGTGAAGCTTCAAACCTAACAGAGATAGTTAACACAAATCCAAGGACTTAGGTTTCAGTTATGTTGACAGTTGCCAGTTATATTGCATTTGTCGGTCCCAGAAGACTGATACTTCTATGCATCAAACTAAATATACTCTCATATAAAATCACATAAACCATTACTCTAACTTTAACTAGATTAACAGAATGTGATCCGTGCTTATGCAAAGATGAAGATAATATTGGTTACGGATGAAGAGTCAGTCAAAATGAACACAAAAAATGCGATAAATGTGATCCACAAAATAAGTTACAGGTAAAGTGAATTTCTCATTATAAACAAATTCTTATCCTACTTGTATGTTATAGAAAAACAAAGATAATAAATGAATTCAGTTTCCTATTTGATGCCAAAATTCATTATTGAGTTTATCAAAACTCAAATAAGTGTACAGAAGAAAGAGAGACATAACAAGTCAGTGTACTACTTACTTCTACTACCCAACAGAAAAGAGACAAAAAAAGGGAAATTGATAGAACCAATATTTTAGGCGTATGGTGACTTCTGTTTAGACGTAGCCTACTATTTTTTTAGACAGAAATTATTTTTAAGAAAAAAAGATGGTAAATAATGTTTTCAAAAAGAGAGAAACAACCAGAAAAGTAAGATTTTTTTCTTTTTGGAGTCACCTAAAACAATTATCTGACAGTATTAATAATATGTTGTATAAAATGGAAAAGAACAAACATCAAATGTGACGTGAATATTGTTGTTCAGAAATATTAAGGAAGTTGAATATGAACGATAAATTCAATAACCAAAAAACCCATCGTTGAATCTTACTTTTTGCAATCATAGAGGGGTTTTTGGAGGTTGTAGTAATTTAATAATTGAATTCGTGAGTTAATTATATGCTCACTAGTGACGGTCTCCAAGACGTATTTCCTAGAGTTCTAATGAGAAACCATGACTCGTTGAGTCAGTCAGTCAGTCCCGACCGTTGTTGCTACCTTGATGTGGTGGTTGGGCTTGCCTATCGTGGTGAAGCAACCGAGCCATACTGGCTGGGACAACCGTTCCTCAAGGTCCTACCATGTCAGGCAGGTCGGTTGAAGAGCGGTAAGACTAAGAGCAACAAACTCAAGATCCGAAGGCGAATTCGTACTGCTGACTGTACAGAGGTGTGACAGCAGTAAGGTGTTTCCTTTGGACAACTAACATGACAGGGATGCTGCCTTCCCACAAAGAGGGGTGTGGTTAGAAAAGGTCGGCTCAGGCGGTAAGGTCTCAACAAGTACGGAGCTAACACAAAAATTACCCATAAAAAGGTCGTATGTGACCGACCTCAAGCAGTTGTCCCTTGGGCACTGCGGTCACACTCTCAGGTCACTAAGACCACCTCTAATCCAATTTCCTTTTCAGGCACCTCCAGAAGAACCCTTCTACGGTGTGGGCGACCGGGAAGTGATAAGCGCCCTCATACTTCTAACAGCACTCGAGACTAGTGGAGTTCATCTGGGTCGGTTGTGTGATAATAACACACTGAAGGCAACGGTGGATGGTGGAGTGATTTCGTGAATCACTTGAATTTAGGCATTAACATCGTCAAATCCCGACCGGCCCAGCGGTTTAGAGGTTAAGAGTTCGGGTGCGAGATCAACAAGTCGAAGGTTCGAATGTTGCGGACAGGGATCGTGAATGCGCACTGTTGAAGAGTCCCACCATAGGACCAGATGGCCGTCCAATGCTTCCAGGTTTTCTATGGTAGTCTAGCTTCAATCGACTCATGAATTCAATTATTAAATAAAATTAACGTTCTAAATTATTGCAAATTATCTTTTAACTTACATTGAAATTATCATCTACGGTTAAAATGGTAACAGCTTGACAATTAAAATTCTTCTTTCCCCTAAGAATAAACAATATTTTAGTAATAACAAAAATCAATCAATCATTGCTAATTAAAACATATAATGATTGATCTATAATTAAGTAGTACTGATTCATTTTTTAAACTCTTCCAGTTGTATCGATAAAAGTACAATGCAATCAATTAGATGAAATGATATAATATTAAAAATATAATCAAGAGTATGATTAAATAAACCAGTTATTTTTTGTGATTTATGATATGTTGAATATTATAATTATTATAGTCTGGTTTCTTATAATATACTATTGACTAATTAGCTACGAGTTTACTAAACTAGTCATTATTTCAGAGGAATCTAGTCATGAATTAATGAATTTCAACCATAAAGATTGTGAACGATACTATAATTATTCTGATCAGTGTTACTTTGATGAAGATTTGTTATCGTTATTATTTAAAAACATGTTTCAAATCAGTTTGAGAATGCTTTTATCAATGAACATAAGTTATTGTTTTTCAACAAACGACATCTTACGATATCTCAGATACTTATTAGAATATTATTACCATAAAGAGAACATATCAATTCTATATTCCACTCAATACTATTTAGCTTACAAACCAAATATTCTATTAGTTGAATTCATGAGTTGAGCTAATCTATACCACCATGGAAAACCTGGAAGAACTAGATGGCTGTTTCGTTTTAGTATAGGACTCCCCAGCAGTGTGCACCCACAATCCCGCATGCAGGACTCAGACCCTTGACTTTTGGCCTCGTGCGCGAACGCCTAACGTCTAGACCACTGAGCTGGCCGGCATCCGACTGTGTTAATGTCCAACTTCAAACAATTCTATAAGCCTTGCATAGTTAGCAGTTAATAACTCAGATCGTATCGACTATTCAATAATACATTTAAAATGTGAATTCAATCCATGAAGATTATTATCTTTTCTGGTTTAAGTAAGCAATTATATTTAATAAATGACACGTATTTCGCCAAATTTCTTATGGTACACAAGAAGTACAGTACATGTTAAAAGTTAAGATAATTGTATCTTTTTTAAAAATATTTCAGCTTACACAATATGGGTTTTTTTCCACATCAATTGATTTTCATCTAAATTATAAATATCAAACGTGAATTTCTTGCGTAATATCAAATCACCCTTGGTTGAGTGTTTATTCCCATTTACATAACATGCAGTAAGTAGATTGATGTATTTGGTACTTATCAACAAACCAGCATCTACCAATGATCCTAATTCGTTATAAAACAGGGGTAAGTACCTCCCTAAAAATGAAGATATATAAGCAAGTTAGTTATATATTATATTTAACTAATTGTTTCATTTTATAATCAGCAAATCAAATATTGTCATTAATCTTTTGCTTGACAAAATTTACAGATATCCATTCAGTTGGTAAGCTGTTTTTCCCTTGAATTAGCATCATCTCACTGAAAACAAAATATTCGGCATGGAGTTCAATTAAGGGCTTCCAGGTTTCATAAATTCAGCTTAATCCCAAGACTACCTGTAGGATTTCAGTCATCCACAATCTTGGGCTTCAATAAATTTTCGACTTAGCTCGACGACCGATTAATATCATTCATGACAAACGTCTCACTCGAGACTAAGCAAGGCCAAATCAAAATATAATCGCTTGCTCACAAGTGATCTGATAAGAGATGATCTTTAGGCTTCCAGTGTGAAATCGTTAATGGTGGAGTTCAGCGGTATCTGTTTTGAAACAGAAGATATCTTTCATTGTGTTACATGAAGAATCGATTGAAATTGAAAGTTAGATGATGTATTGAGTCTTCATTACTCCAAACTAAAACGGTACAGATGTTTAGTTGTCCCTGGTTTTAAACGGAACTCCAGATGATATAAAACTTTGACTGAAACCACCTTCAATGTAACAAATTTTTATTTACCTTAAATGTGATATACAAATGTTACAGTCTGATAATGAGAGATAATATCAACTGATTTATTAAAGTACACCCTCACATATCGAAATCAGTTGATTAGCTTTTTGAAATTACCGCCTTTTATAAGCACTATAACTAATTACATTTTTAGAAAAAATCATGTTTTAAAGGCATATTACCTAAACAATAAAGAGTAGTTTACACACTCTCACTTCAATACCTACTTTTAAAAGCTGATATTCATCTTTCTTTAAATAATAAAATAATTTGTCCACTAGAATAAATTTTGGACTAGAAAAAAAACGCTAAAGGATTCTCTTATTATTAGTATTTCCTGAATAAATTGAAGCGTAAATGAAGTATTGCTGTTGCCTATACTTTTATTATACAATCGATTGATTACATAATTGAAAGAATATGAGTAAACTAATCCATTTGTTTCCCTCTTTAATCTCGGTGACTTGATTACTAAATTAATAATATTCGTAATCCAATTAATTACTATAATGCATTACAATGAATAGATGAGAGAAATGGGTAATAAATCTTTATAGATTGCCCTTTTTATATAAGTGAGCTCAAATACAAAGCAATATAAAGAAACGGGGAAGTGATATCAGTTTTTGAAGAGATTAGGATGAGACACAACAACAATCAACCGTTATTGAATAATGCAAAAAGGAAGTTTATAGAAAGAAAAAGGAAATTAACATTAAATTTGATTAATAATTGATGATTTCCAGTCTACTGAAGTGTTTGTTTGTTTGGTTGGTTTCGATGACAAATTATTCATTTTCTTTTTCCGCATCGTCACTTTTTGAATTAAATAAAAGGTGGAAACTAAGTACAGAGTGATTATTTTTTAATCGAGTAATAAATTATTTTTAATATAGTAATTTAATGGTTGAGTTCATGAGTCAATTGAAGATAGACCACCATGGAAAACCTGGGAGTACTGAACGGCCGTTTCATCTTATTGTGAGGCTCCTCAGCAGTGCGCACCCATGATCCCACCTCATGGGATTCGAACCCAAGACCTATTGGTCTCGCACGCGAGCGCTTAACCACTAGAACACTGAACTAACCGGCATACAACGATGTTAATAACTAACTTCTACTGATCCACGAAATTGCTCAACTATACACCATTGTCTTCGATGAGTTATTATCTCACAACCGACCCAGTTGAACTCAAGTTTCACATTACTAATGATCATCAGATCTTCATAAAACTCTTGGGTACCGAGTGTACAGATCTATAATAACAAGATTAAGGTTTTCTTGTTTATTCGTTGGTTTTTTTAAAAATTCAATAACCTCATCTGTAAAAGAGAAACCTAAATACACAAACTGTCTGTAATATGCATTTTGTGAGGCGATCACCTCCCCCAAATGATTTATAAAATAAATGATAACAAAGAGATAAATATCTTAGAAAGCTTATAATTAATGCCTTATCCACTTAAAAATCTCTCAATGTACTACGTAACACATATCTCATAGTAAAGTCTGTCGGCTATCGTGTTCATTCAATTTTAACAATGATTCACGGTTGTTCTTGAAGTGCACCTAGTAAATTGAAATAATCCTGTTAATCCATTAATAATCGACTGGAAAAATAATTTTTAACCCAAGTTTATAGCTGTTATAGCCTGGTGGATTACAGATTCGTCACCCCCTTTGTGCAGAACGGGCCAAATGTCAGATTTTCCCGACTCGTGATATACTAAAGATTATTCACTCTTTATTCTCATTGGTGTTTTCGTAACAAACTCGTTTTGATTCTTAATTGTATTGTTCGCTTAAAGCTTCCCATTGACGTTTTGGACTGAAATTGATCAGTCTTCTATTGGTATGTGTATATCCTGTGAGGATTGCCTCGATATTGCCTTAAGCCATAAGCATTATAAGTAAAGATGGATGGTGGCTAGCAGTGTAATCCTGAACAAGCGTTTCATTTCATTGGGGACAATTCTGCTGGATTTACCTGTATCCCCGGAGTTGATGTTCACTCCATCTTTGCTCATATAAAAGTATTATTATAATTGGTACATTAGTAATCGAAATGCATGGTTTAATAAATTACACTATGAAATACATAAGATATTTTTCATTTGGTTCATTTCAATAAAAACAATGCGCTTGGTTCACTTGACACAGTAGTAGGTAACGTTTTATTTCTAAATAATCAAAAATATGAATGGTTCATTCAGATCACATTTTCAAATGGCAATTCAATTTTATTTTATTCAAGCCGAATTATTCTGACAAAATGATGATCATTGAATGAATTCGGTTCAAAGAGCGAAGCGTATAAAAGATGGTTGATTATATAGAAAAAAACTATCCACATTCAATACCCTAAGAAAGCTATCTCAGAATTAAGGTTATCAAACAAATTAACTAGTTTTGAATTTATAAATTTAATGAACATACAATAACTTAATTGCATATAACATAATTCCATGCGTAGTTAACCGTAAAAGTGGACAATACTAAATCAATCAACAAGGAAATGTGGAATGCACTGTATTTTGACCAATTCTGGGTAATAAAAAGCTAGTAACTCAATATTCATCTCCTTTCTTATCTATTGTCTTCATTTGTTCAAAGATAATAAGCTTTTTCTCAAGTGTTTTAAAGCCATCTTAAATTATGTCTCAATGTGCAGTGAATAAACAATCGTTATGAAAATCTTTGATTATGAATAATCACAGTAGAAACTATCAATGAAAATGAATTGTACATACATCATTTCGATTATTTCTTTTTATAAGTCAAATATAATTCAGTAAGTAAATTCTTTTTCAAATTACTGTCAAGCAAACTTCGTATACTTTCTACATCAAATTCTTAATCTGTATCACATTTATACTACTGAATTTAATGTAACGGATAAATGATCGTGTAAATATCTTTATATATAATAACAATTATCGAGAGAATGTTTATCAGCTGAAAAGAAGTTATCATATTTCAAATATATGTAATGAATTAAAAATTGATTGATACCTAAGAAAATTAAATAAGAAAGACATAGATGTATTTAGAAACTGAATGTTGAAAAATAAGGATCATTTTTTCCAACTAGCTAGTCAAAAGTTTATATGAAAACTACGAAACTTAGGTATCTTAGATACAGCCCCAAAATGAAACTATAGGTCAAGTACAGGATAGCTCTCTAGTGTTATATGGTTCTTGATAAATCTGTTCATTATGTGTTCACTAACAACAAACTCCGAGAGGTTAAGAGCTCGCTATGCAGCTTAGAAGTCTTGAGTCTATTCCCTAATGGGGTCGTACATGAGCGCTACTAATGAAAAGGCTTTTACTAATGCAAAACAGCCGTCTTCCTAGTTTCCAGTAGTTTCTAGATACAGTCAGCTATGATGTACAATAAAAGATTCCTCAGTTGAGAGCAATTTCTAATAAAAACTACGAATAGTATTCAGTGAAATATTTGCCCAATAAGGATTACTATTACGTTAGTCAGTAGGCAATGATCAATAGAAAATGTGAGTTAACAACCAATAAGATAACTAACCTGACTGTAATTGTTTAATTATAACTAATCTAGATTGAAGACCAATCACCAGATAATTATTTCTCGAATTAATTAAATCTGGCTTCTTTGACAGATTTTCTTTATCATCAATGAATGTTTCATGTGTATTGACGGAATGACTAGCATAGATAACTGAAATATAAGTTATTTCTGAACCGAAATATCGTATTTCTTCTATTACGCCTTCTTCGGCTATGTAGAAAAGTAAAGCAGAGAGGAATAGGACAAGTTTAAATAATAACAGGTTGACATCATTAAATGCAGATATTTCTCAATTATCGATAACATGGTATTTTTTCCAAATATAATAAGTATACAGAAATTAATTTCCCGCATTTAAATTGTTCCAGTGTCTAGATTACTGAAAATAATAAATCTGTAGTGGAAATAACTTCGAGATAATTCGATAGGCTTCATATATTAGATAAATCCCAACGATGCGTAAATTCAGAAGGAAACACAAAGCGCCGATTACAGTTTATTATCGAATAGCAAGATTTATAGACCACAACCACACCAAGAAAATTCGAGCAGAAAAGCTAGTTCACGCGAACGAGTGGACATAGGTGATTTAATAGGATTCAAGCACATGTATATATGGGAAAGAGAATGATTCATTGTGGGATCTAAACAACTAACATTTAAGCTAGAGAGAGGAGTACGTGTATGGGCTGTCACATGTGATCCAGCATACATGTTCATACAGACATGAAAACAATATCAAGATATACAAATTGTCACAGTTCTAGTAACACTGTTTATTAAATACGTTGGTTGAAGAGCTTAACGAAGTTAAACTTAAACAAAATTAAGTGTAGTAGAGGTGCACCAAGTAGGTTTATCTTACTGATCTGATAAGTTGAAAAGTTAAGTGTAACAGTTTAACTGAATGATGAGTGGAATTAGTTCGGGGTTTTAAACTTAATAGAATGTTTATTGCATCTGTAGCCATCCTATGGATATGACTTAGTTTACTTGTTCGATATTCAAAATTATGTGACTAATGATGATCTGTGGTCATCATGCAAATAAAAGATATCTGTTACTTTACATCAAACTTGAACAGTTATTGATTGAGACTCATTTGAATGAATTGTTTTTGACCCCCATAATTCAATTACTTTAACGGTAAATTATAAATTGTCCAACTTACAAACGTTTGTTACAATTTATTACCGGCTTAATAAAAACATGACGTTTTTAACGACCCGTAAAATGATACTAATCAAGATTATAGAAAAGAACTCGATACCAAGATACATATTAATGAATTTTGTAAATATTGATTATGCAATTACTTTATTAAGGTTGTAGTGTTAGACATTAGTTTCAGCCCATAATATATCTTATTCTAGTTTCCGGACATTCCATTCTATTCATTCTATTTGAGTCATATTTTGACCTTGTTAATTATTCGCTTATTAGCCTTGACTGTTTTCATATGAGCGTATGTATGTACACTTCATGTCCCATGACTCATCACATGTCTGTCGTTTATTTTGTCTGCCTATAAATATTGAGTAATGCCTAGCTTGAAATGGAGTTGGCTTCCCAGCCATCCTCCCTGGGCGTCGTTTTGCTCTATTCTATTGCATTCACTTTACATACAAAATATATGTATTCAAAGGCCATTCTCGTTAATTGACTTATCTAAATTCCGTTATTGACTAACGTGATTTAAGTCGACGATTATATACGAGAATAGGTGATAGCAAACATCCATTGATCTAAAATGGAGTCAGATCCATGGGCCACCAAAAGGTAATCTCTAAACTGATATCTCCTGACAAGTTAACAAAGCTGGGTAGAGTAGAAAATTACTAAATACTTGAGCTTTACTACACTAGCGTAAACACTGTGAAAATGTAATTAAAGCCCTTTCGACTCACCAAACTAATCTGGATTGTTTTTTTGTGGCCTCTTTAGCCACACAAGCTGAAAATATAAAGGTACCAAAAGGAAAGCAAACAATAAATACTTTATTTACAAAAATCTTACTTTTAGAGAACTTATCTAAAGGATAAAAGAAAATATAACATGATCTAGACCAATAAACACAAATCGATCCAGAGTATGCTACAAAAGAAATTAAGAAACGATTATCAGTCATGAATAAAAGTCAGTTATTTATTTTGCAAAGTCTGATTGTTTACAACGAATAATCTTCAATCATAAGAAAGTCATTGGCTATTTGTTTTTAAATCAAACTTTCATGAAAACTTAGGATTAATAACTGTCGAACAGTAATATGTAGGTCCTTCTAGACATGTATGAAACAATTTAAAGCTTATTTCAGTCAGTAACAACGTAGAACTTCGTACGTACGTACATCAGTTCGAGTTGCCACACCACCTTAACCTGAATGGCAAGTTAATGTAGGTCCTCCGTCTCTTAACGAAGTTGAAAAAGCCATAGGAAATCTGAAACGAGGGAGAGCAGCAGGCCCTGACAGGTTTACTCCTGAGATTTTTAAGGATGGTGGTCCAGTATTAGCAATGAGATTAACCGAGGTCTTAGGTAGAATTTGGGAACTGGACGTAATCCCATCTGACTGGTCTCAATCACTGATTGTGCCAGTTTTTAAGAAAGGACAAAAGCTTATTTGATTATAATGAAGTCATAATCATCCTAACAAACATCATTTTCAATTAACAAACCACTCTATCATAAACATTTTGCATATACTGCCTTACTATCACTTATGTTTTTTACAGTAATACATTTAGAGAATAAATAAATATCCGCACTTGAAATAGTTATTTAGACTGAGAATGTCAAAAAGCATTAGTGAACATTCTGGCTAATGGTGATTCCGTTACTGGTTATGGACGAAAGTTTTTTATAATTCTTTTAAAACAGTACAAACTTCCCTACAAAATCAGAAACCATCACTTTCTAGTTTGATAGAACCCAAATGTAGCAAATCTTAATCATTCAACTATTATGAAATGGTGAAAAAGACGTCGGTTTCTTACGTAAAAACAACATTCGTACAAAAATGTACACGACTGTATCATTGTTTTTCAGACTAGAAAAGTTTACGTCATTATAAATGACTATGAAATGAAATTCAAGATAAAAGTGTTTCTATAAGATTTGTAAAGTGATTAATCATTCATAATTTACTTAAAGTGAATATATAATAAAGATACAATTCAAATGAAGTGATATTAGTTTCAATTAGTTCCTCATCAGTGGCTAAATACTGACATAAAGTGATTCTGATTAGCCCAAAGCATCAAACACTTAAACATAATTAATGTGATTTGAGTTACTTAGATTAGTGACCACATTAAATATTGACTAGCACTAAAAGACTAAACAAAAGTGACAATGGTCGATACTCGTTGACTAATCAAATATAAATATCTCAGTCTTAAAAGAGGTCATTCATGGTTCTGTAGTAATGCCCTAGACTGTAAAACAGGATGATGAACTGACAGTTCCCTCAAGACTACACATAAGCCTTAGTGATAGATGACAACTGGCGAGAAGCACAGGTTCTAGGTTTTTAATAGACTTTTTCCAAACAAATAACATCTCAGTTTTACATTTGAATATAAAATCAATATCAGAGAAAAGTTGCTAGTAAATCGATAAAAGAACTAAAGAATGCAAATCAGTTGATCATTAAGAGTACCTGCTTGGACTCCGACCACGCCCTAATACGGGCACGCATCTGCTTGCGCCTCACCGGACGCAAAAAAGCCACATTAAAAAGACCCATTAGAACTGAATTGAGTAACGAGAAAACCAAAAATAGGTTCCAAGAACAACTGAGGTCAAACTTAGGTAGTTCTGAAGACGAGGCTGACCCAGATGTTGCTTGGAAAGACATACAAACAGCTGTGGATGCAGCAGTGACATCTATTAGCAACTTAAACCACAGAGTTTCAAAGGACCAGTGGATTTCTTCAAGGTCTATTGCACTGATGGATTCTCGCAAACTCGTCCCATCAGGTTCCGAACATGATGAAGAGCGACAACAAATCAGATCTACGTTAAGAAAAAGTCTAAGAAACGACCGTGAGCAGTGGTGGGCAACGAAAGCAAAAGAGATGGAAAAGGCGGCGACTATAGGGAACACAAGACAGCTTTACAGACTAATAAAAGAAACTGGAATTAATAAGTCAAGTGTAAGTGAGATTATATCGGAAAAAGACGATACACTCATCTGCTCCCAGTCCAGGCGTTTAGAACGATGGGCTGAACATTTCAGAGAACAGTTCAGCTAGCCTTCAGCTACTCTACAACTACCCTCCATTCCCAGACAGCGTGAATGGAACATTGAAGTAGGTCCCCCAACTCTTGCTGAAGTTCAAAAGGCTATAGATAATCTGAAACGAGGAAGGGCTGCTGGTCCAGATGGACTGGCTCCAGAAGTCTTTAAGGATGGTGGTCCAATTTTAGCGATTAAGTTGACTAATATTTTAGCTAAGATCTGGGAGTTAGATGTTATTCTATCTGACTGGTCACAATCACTTATCGTCCCAATATACAAGAAAGGGTCAAAATCATCCTGTGACAACCACAGAGGGATTAGTTTAACTAATATAATATCTAAAATACTAGCCTCAATAATAATCAGACGCCTAACTAAGACTCGTGAACTGCAAACACGAGAAAATCAAGCTGGCTTCAGTCCTGGTCGTGGCTGCATCGACCACATATTCACCATTCGTCAGGTTCTAGAACACAGGCATACTTATCGGCGTCCGACGATGGTGGTCTTTCTTGACTTAAAAGTAGCATTTGACTCGGTAGACCGCGAGATTCTGTGGCAGTGTCTGTCATTGAAAGGCGTACCCCAGAAGTACATAAACCTTGTAAAGGCTCTTTACTCGAACACTACTAGTCGAGTGAGAGCTTATGGCGAACTGTCATCTAGTTTTGCAACCTCAAGTGGTGTCCGTCAAGGATGTCCACTTTCCCCATTTTTGTTTAACTTCATCATAGATCTACTGATGGAAATAACTTTCTCGTCGACTGAGTTCTCGGGTATTGATCTCCATCCTGGAGGTCCACTTATCGACTTAGAATACGCAGATGACATAGTCCTGTTTGGTGAAGACGCTGACAAAATGCAGAGTCTTCTGTTGGCACTGAGCAACAATGCCAGGATGTTTGGAATGTGCTTCTCTCTCTCTAAATGCAAGTTGTTGCTTCAGGACTGGTCTGCGTTAACACCTGAACTAAGGATAGGGAGTGAAGTAGTCGAACGCGTTGACAACTTCACTTATCTTGGAAGTCTGATCAGCCCTAATGGGTTGGTATCGGACGAAATCTCAGCACGGATTCGAAAAGCTCGTTTGACTTTTGCCAACTTACGTCACCTGTGGCGAAGGCGAGATGTCCGTCTATCAATAAAAGGACGAGTATACTGCGCGGCAGTCCGTTCTGTTTTAATTTACGGCAGCAAAACATGGCCATTAAGAGTAGAAGACACTCGTAAGCTACTAGTATTTGACCACAGATGCCTTAGAAATATTGCTGGCGTCTGCTGGGATAACCGGGTAAGTAATAGTGAGGTTAGACGCAGGGTATTAGGAAATGATGGTTAATCAGTTGATGAGGTTATGAATCTTCATCGACTGAGATGGTTGGGCCACGTGTTACGTATGTCTGGACACCGATTACCACGAAGTGCAATGCTATCCGGTATTGGAAATGGTTGGAAGAGTTAGAGGCGGCCAAACCAAAACGTGGCATCAGTGCTTGAAGTCACTAACTTCTAGTCTTAGCCATGTTGGTAGATGCAGACTACTTGGTTGGGGTCCGCGTGACTATCGTAACCAATGGTTGGAGACTCTTGGTGACATGGCTCAGAATCGATCACAATGGCGTCGGTGTATACACTCCCTGTCTTCCCTTAAACTAAGAGATTAAAATCGATTCATATCTTTCTTTCTACGAACCAATTCTTTCTTCTTGTACTATATCTCTATATGCAATCTTTCTCTTATATATTACCACCTTTTATCTAACCACTGTTATGAATCCGGTGTTCATCTTGTTGTGCTGATGCGGTATGGTAACCTGGACCGATGCACACATGTGCCTGGTCCTACGTTGTAGATGATTGACTGACTGACTGACAGGTACACCTTGGAGAGAGAATCTTTAGATATGGAGCAAATGAAGTGTGATTTTAAATAGAGCAAGAACAAACATTGATGCAGAATAGTATGAATTCATATTATTTCGAGGTTTCTCGTCAGCTGCTTACAAACCAAAATTGTGATAGAATTTTTTACATGGAGATAGTGTGAAAACAATTGACATAAATGAGTGTAAATAAGTGGATTACAATAATAACTATGTATATATATGCTAGAAACAGGTCAGAGGTCAAAAGAGGGGGGTTAATCCAGGGTGGGTGGTGTAATAATTTAGTGAAGTTCAGAAATGGTGTGATAATTGTAGAGACCAATATTATCGATGGCCAAATCACCCTTCCATAAACTTGCCCGCTGGCTTACTAGATGCTTGGAACCAATCCGAAAAAAACTAGCAGCCTACAGTTTGAAAGACAGCTTTGAATTTATACAAAAACTTGATAACCTTAATGTCTCTGACAAATTCATGGTTTCATTTGATGACTCTTCGCTTTTCACAAATATCCCCTTGGAAGAAACGGCAGAGATCATATGTGAATATCCAGAACTCCTGCCTTTACCACCCCAGGAATTTAAACAGCTCCTGTTTTTGTGTACAAAAAACATACAATTTAAATTTAACAATGTTCTGTACCGACAGATTGATGGAATAGCAATGGGCCCAATTCTTGCTGACATATTTATGGGACATCTGGAACAAAAGAAACTGAAGCACGCAATTGACAGTACCACACTCTACTGCAGATATATGGATGACACGTTCCTTGTCTGCAAAAATCACCAACACTCCATGTACCTACTTAGTCTGTTCAGTAAAGTACACAAAGATATAGAATTTACCATGGAACATGAAGTTGATGATAAATTCCATTTCCTAGATATTGGAATTAGGCGAACATCAGATGGCACACAACAAAGACACATTCACCGCAAAAATACTTGGAGCGGAGTTTATCTCAATTTTAACAGATTCTGTCCAATGAGTTATAAAAAGGGTATTGTGCGAAACCTTTTTGACCGCGCACGAAAAATCTGCTCAAAAGAATGCCTCGAAGAAGAAATTACTACAATCACCAAATGCCTACGTGAAAATGCATATCCGGATAAATTCATCCACAAATATGCTAATACAAACCTTCCGATTAGGCATGATACAGTTGAAAAGAAAACCTGCTTCCTATCCTTGCGCTTCAAAGGAGATGAAGTCGCCGGAATTATCAATCACAGAATTAATTCCGCTTTAAAAGTGACCTACACGGCAGCCAAACTAACTATGTTATGGAAAACATACTGCTCACTGAAACAAACGAAGATCGACAAGTCCTCTCCCCTCAGTTGCTCCAACTGCATTTACCAATTCACATGTAGCACATACATTGGAAGAACTGAGAGAAGAGTACAGGTTCGCATCTCTGAGCATATTCCGAAGAACTTGACGCTGCGAGGGACCAAAGCTTTTAACAGTGCAATAGCTCGGCATCTACTTGACACCGGGCATACCGTCGATATTCTGCACGCGTTTAAAATTATCAATAGACAAAATGGTACTACCACTCTCCGCTTTGCTGAAGCGATTGCGATTAAGAAACTGAAACCGGATTTTTGCATTCAAAAAGAGACTTTAATAAACTTATCAGTACCCTGGTAATCTTTTTGTTTCTGTTTGTTTTGTGTTTTGGTTATTTTTTCATTTACTTATTCTAAGATATTTTATACTCCTCCCCTATTACCTAATTCTTAAAATAAATTTTATTCACACATTTCCACCACCTGATCCTCTTAAATTATCTTAACTTTCCAAATTCTATTTAATTATTATTATGTAATCTACCTTATCATTATTTAATTCCGTTAATCTCTACAATTATCCCACAATTTCTGAACTTCACTAAATTATTACACCACCCACCCTGGATTAACCCCCCTCTTTTGACCTCTGACCTGTTTCTAGCATATATATACATAGTTATTATTGTAATCCACTTATTTACACTCATTTATGTCAATTGTTTTCACACTATCTCCATGTAAAAAATTCTATCACAATTTTGGTTTGTAAGCAACTGACGAGAAACCTCGAAATAACATGAATTCATACTATTCTGCATCAATGTTTGTTCTTGCTCTATTTAAATTCATAAAGGGAACCAATTGCATGAAGTGTGATTTGATGTATAACTTTCTATGGTGAATCTTTATCGATTAAATGGATGAGTATATATTTGCTTACCATTCTTATTTGTCCTCTGTTCAACTATGTTGGATGATGTTCCGAAGTATGATGATGACTTCGTTTTGTTGTACTCCCAATGTTATATCCCGACGAGAGTTATGAATGGGAACGTTTGAGAAATATCTATGCACCAATAAGATACATATATCTTTACAGTACAATTATTAAGTAGCTAAACTATGCATATTCATGTTCCTCTTATTATCAGCTTTATTTTCACCCATAGACTATTATTATACGATTCGCCGTTCTTGAGTTAAGTCTATTAATTATAGTCTCCCACATTCACAGTACCTTTTGGCTAAATCTTGTACAAATGTTATTTTCTATTTTATGGTAAGGTGTGGTCTGTTTGGTTTGTATATAAACCCAGTATGTTTAAAACACATGATTCATATCGCAGAAATTGAGATTGGTGTTCTTGGCTTAACAGGCAAGGCTAGGCAGAAAGAAGCACCGATAAAAACTCTAGACTGCTCGTACGGGTTTTATGTGTCATTGGTCCGGTCGATAATTCATTATTCTCCAATTGGCGGTATCATTAAGCTGAACATTAATATAGCGCAAGGTCACAAGTTATAACACCCAATATAAGTGTTTTTGAAACCCAAATTTAAACTTGAATTTTTGCATTCATTCACTCTTATATAATCAGTCTTAATAGCCATCTTTTTCGCAATTTGTTCTCATTGTAAACATGTTAATTTGCTTACAACCATCTCAGTGATATTGACTTTATATTCAAATGCAAAACTACATATTAGTGTTGAGCCATGATGAGGAGCTAGTTGTAAAGAAATAATCCTCGGCTCAAATTGTATTTTTAATATATAAGTGATTTTCATTGTTATTGAAGAATACTCTGTTGTTATTACTATCACCCTTGTACAAGTTAAACAGATTGTTTATGATAATTTTACACGCTTTTCTATGGAGTAACAAAGCCATGAAATAAAAAGAAAGAACTAATCAGTACAGTATACAATTATGCAAACCACTCATGAATTCGACTCCAATACATTTCACAGAAAAAATGAAGCGATAATAAATAGTGTAATAAGTGTAATAAGACAAGTCAAGGAAACTCCTAGAAATATAAAGTAAATATTCGAATGGTTCTTACTTAAAATCACTGACAAAAAATACAATCAGTAAACTACTGATAGTCAGTAATCCCATGCAAGTTTGCCATCAGTTTAAAACAACTAGTCCCCTCTCATAAATTATTTCTGTTATCCATTACTACAGTTATAAATACCTCCTTTTGGTAAATGTAAACTTCTGTCTAAATCTAAAATCATGAGTTTCACGTTTGCTTATTATTGCCATAAAAGGCATGATCGAAGAAGAAAACGCTTATAAACTAGCACCAGCATACGAGTGGGTCAAGCTAAAAGGAAACTTAATTAGTCTTTACACGTTTTTAAAATAGGCAAACCATTTGAGAGGTATTGAAATTTTTATAAATAATGTCCGAGTAAAACTAAATTACAAGCTGGAAAATCATGTTATTGTAGCTAGAAGAATGAGTCAAAATAGAAAAACAACATTATGAAGAGATTGAAATAAAAGCTTCGTTCAAATAAGCTTGTATCCTTTTGAAATAATCAGAATTTGATCGAACCGATTTTTAATTGGCTAGTGATACGTTGTGAAAAATTAGACAGAATGTAACTTAGACAAAGTGAACAATTTCAACATCAAATCCACCCAATTTTTATTATTTGTTGATAGTATTTATTTCAGTATACAACCAATATTGACTGTAATTATGTTCGCGTTCATCAATATCAATAATCTCAACATACACAAAGGAGAAAACAAGATCTTGAAATACAATACAATGAGCACCGTCCAAGTCACACTTGATGGAGATGCCCTGGAAGAGATGGAAAGTTTTACTCGCCTAGGCAGTACCATTGATAAACAAGGGATATTCGATGACGGTGTAAAGGCAAAGATTAACAAAGCAAGGGCAGCATCCTTACAAATGAACAGCATCTGCAACTCAAAACAACTATCAGTCACCACCAAAGTCAGAATTTTTAACACAAACAACAAAAAAGTTCTATTGTACGGAGCTTAAACTTAAAAGGCTATTACAACCGTCATCTAAAAAGTACAGGTATTTATAAACAATAATATACTGCAGATCCGTTAGCCAAATACCATCAGCAGCAACCTGACGTGACGAAAAACCAGCTGAAGAGGAAAGTAGGGAAAGACAGAACGTGGATGATGATTTCTGCAATGGGGTACGCATTGCAGAAATCATCATCACCAAGCAAGCCTTGACTTGGTATTCCTCAAGGAAAGAAGAAGATAAAGACTTAAAAACATATTGACCAGGAAATTAAATTTAGACATCAAAATAATGAATATCATTTAGTAACAATGGAAAGGGAGAGTAGGAGATTCCCAGTCGGTGGCCTATGCTCAATGTGGAGTTACAGTAAGTAACATCAATAACCGATGAATAAGCTGATGTCGGTTAAATAAAAATGAATAACCTATAGATTTATTAGTACAGTATTATACCACAGGCGAATGGGGATATTTTCGAGGAAAATTACCCTCGCTAATGACTAGGTCTATAGGGAATATAATATAATATAATATATATATATATATATATATATATATATATATATATATATATATATATATATATATATATATATATATATATATATATATATATATATATATAATATAAGTTTGTAAACTTACACAAGTTGGTGAAAGATGAAATTTCTGATTGTTTACTATTAGAGGTTAAACTGATCGGCAGGAATTCAAAATATGGATAGCTATAACAAAATGAAAAAAAGGAAAATGCATTTGCTTTGTTGTACACTTTAAAAAACTGTAACCAGTTGTATATGTTCTATACAAGTTTACCTTCCTTAAAATATAATAAATAGCTACATACTGAGTGTTTTAAATCTATGATTTAGAACTAATTAAATGGAAAACCAAATATCATGCTTTAGCGAGTAACACGTATAAACCATAAAATACGTTTTGATCTGCTTTTCAAGGACCAAATACCAGATTTCATTCAAACAGAATCCGTATACTAATACAAAGTAGATAGTTAGATCATTGGATCAGTTGTCTTTCCAACTATGTAAATGTTAAAACCAATCCTCTTAATCTAGATTATATTTATGGCCAAGTGTATGTGTTCACGAAAATTCTATAAAAAGCTTACAACTTGTTGGGATGTTGAGCACTAGAAAATTTATACACAGAAATAGAAGTACTTGGCATATTTCCCTCTTTGTTCATAACTTGAACAAACAAGAAATGATTACACTAAAATTCATACATCCATTATATGACGATAAAGAATATAACACTCAAAATGATTAAAAGCTTTTGCAACTGAATATAAGTGGTAGATACTGACCAATAAAAAACACCCAAAAGATCTTGAGAATAATTGCGATTTAGATGTATGTTAATATATTGCGTATATATATAATCCCTTTAATTTACTCGAAAAGAACAAAGGTTTGAGCAGAATAAAATGAAGCAGTAGCTATTCCGATCAAAACACCGGAGCTTTGAGTCCAAAAAAATATGTTCAACTACTTCTTTCATATTGACTAGTTTCTGAACCTATTCGTCAACAATCATTTTGGTGATATAGAGGCATAGTTTGACAAATGTATGTACAGCTTTCATCTTTATATTTTCATAGCTTGAATATATCTGAATCACTTATCTTAGACGCTTGTGAACATTTGAGGGATTTATTTGGCACCCATCCCTAACTACCATATCTTACGTAATTCATATTATTCTATTCATTATGCGATTGCAGATCAAATATTTATTTTGATTTGCAATTACATTATTATTTTTCTCACCTTATGCCAGATTTCCCGCCAATAATCCTGGATTTTACAAATTGTACTTTTGAATGAAATATTTACTTTGAACTTGGCTATTCCTTTTGACACATTAATTTAGATTTCTGACAATAGAACGTGACGGGAACTTATTGAAAAAGAAAAAAATTCTCCATTCACATATATATGTGTTGTTAACATGAATTTTTGTAGCAATTAAACAAAATGTTATTAGTGCTCCTAATGGTTTGTTATGACTGTTATACAAGATGTTATATGCTATTTATTTGGCGGAACAAGACTGATATGGCCTGATTCAAGGAAGAAAAGTAACACTGTTGCTAAGGGTTAATTTACACATTACAACTGATAGAACTAACATTTATTTTACTTCTTCCTAATAATTTTCTCAGATTTTTATCAACTACTCACAACTTGTAATAACTAAAAATCATAATTATAAATATTGATTGAAAATACTCACACAAATGGCTTCAGTTAGAAAATGTTTTAAGCACACCGCAGTATATTTCCATAGTTGAGATCATGATTCAATTGAAGCTAGAACACCATGGGATCACTGGACGGCCGCTTCGCCCTACTGTGGGACTCCTCAGTGGCAGTCCGCATCCACGATTTCGCCTCGCGAGATTCCAATCCAGGTCATATCAGTCTCGCGCATGAGGGCTTAACCACTAGACCACTGAGCTTGTCGGCATCCAACGGTGTTAATGTTTAACTTCAACTAATTGAGCGACACATCCATCATTGTCTTTAATGAGTTATTATCTCACAGCATACCCAGTTGAACTCCACTAGTCAACCAGTATAGTTTACAAAAGATGTAAATAAATTTAAGCCAATTAATAAAAAAACACATTTCAAATACATCCCACAACAATGATGGCAACAAATGATCAACGGACTACAATTAAGTGGTTACATATACTGATTTATACTGAAAATAATTTCCTATTGCAGTCATTTGTTTTATTAGAATGTTTGTCATTTATATCAGGGTTTTTTTCAAATTCACTTAGTAATTTTTAATTTTCAATATACTATAAGATGTCAATAACTGATGAGAACTTAACCTAATAAAATGAAAATGATGGTATTCTCCTCAATTCTTTGCTCTTAACTCTTTCAAGACAATATTGAACAACTGGTAGTGATAACTTTTCCCTGTAATAAAATCTATGATACCAAATGAAGCAGTTATTATCAGTAAGGTGACTAGTCATTACAAATTTTAGTCAAAAATCAGACCATATATACACTTAAATGTTTATCTGTAGTGCTAAATCAATTATTCTAAAATTGTCAGTTTTTCTGGACAACAAATTTTAATAAAGGAAGATATATTTCAGCTAATTCTTTCTACGTAACTATAGTCAAATAACGTAACTGTCGTTAAGGTCAAGCATGAAAATTAAACCAATAATCCTAGATGTGGTCGTAGTTGCGCGCTACTGTGTAGTTTAAAACTAAGCCAAAACAGTTTCCCAGTGTTCCCTTCTTTTCAAAGGTTATCAGTTCATGATTAAGACTGTGAATATTACTAATCATTTGAACCGTCAAAAACAAACACTAAAATTTTACATCAACAGCTGTTTCTGATCTTATATCAAGATTAATTTCTGATAAATATCGAATGTTTATTTAAGACTGTTGACACACAAACCAACTATAATGATAATTATTAGTGTTATTTTATTTGTTCCTGAATATTCATCAAGTTTTATTAGTAAAGTTTGAAGAACAAATAGTAATTCCAAAATGGTTTATTATGGTTGAATAAATAACAGACTTCGTAATAATAGTTATGACTGTGATGTTAAGTGAAAAAGTACCCTGTTAGAGTTGAAATAATAGTACGACCTATAATTACAGTTAATTTCTAATTCTCTGTAATCATTCTGATGATTCAAACATAATACTGTGCATAATAATAATTAACTCCTCCTGGAGCTCCTCTGCGGCTACTGCCAGTCACAAGCCCGGATAAAGGCGGAGAGTTGGGCATGGGGTTAGCGACCCCAACCCGTAGAAAACTAACTCGCTAAAAAGACGCTAACTAGAAAAAATAATTCAAACCATTTAAACTTTGCCCTAAGAGTTAGAAAGCCTTTATTTAGAAGAGTTATGACGTCTCATGATAAAATCCCAGTTCCTTCGGAAGTCACAAGGCTGATGCCATTTCCGACAACCACAGCAACCATTAATTGAGGTACATGGAATATTCGTACAATGTGAGGAACCGGATGTCATAAAATATTAACTACTGAAAGTTATTTTATTTTACAATTCACTTTAGAATTTCTTTTAAGTAAAATTTTTACACTTTTACCATTTAGGTTGTGCTTCATTTAAATCTTTTACTAACTGTCTTCTAATTTCTTCGTTTTGTTGAGTTTTTTTCAATGAATCATCTACTCGTTCAGTCTCATCAATAACCGAATCTTTAACATTTATTTCAATATCTAATTCAGTTTCTTGTTTTTTATCAATAGTTTTATTCTTCTTTTTTGACTTTTCATCGTTGTCTTTATTTGGTAATGCATCGGTACTTTCAATATTAGAATTAATCTTTTCAGCTTTTTTATTATTGCGTCCATTTGTTGATTGTTCTTTGTGTTGTTGTTTACGTTTAGAAGATTTTGTATTTCTAGTTTGATGTTTTATTGAACTTGGTGAGTGTGCTTGACTTCTTTCTGTTGTGGGTTCAGATATCTCTGTTTTTTGTGTATGTAATATGAAAGTATGCAACAACAAAATAAAATAATTTTAAGCAACAAAAAAACAAAGCGGATTTTTTCATTAAGTCTAAAATCATGAATTGATCAGTGTTAAACTACCAATGGAAACCTAAAAGCACTTGACAGCCGTTTCTTCCTACTACAGCGCTCTTAAGGAGTGAGCATCCACATCTCTGCACGTTGGAATCGAACCCAAGACTTTCCATCTCGAGCACGTACGCTTAAACTCTAGACCATTGAGCCAATATCTAATGGTGTTTACGTCTAACTTCGAGCAATCCACGATGTCGAGTGACTATCTTCTATTATCTTCGGTGGGTAACTGTTTCACCCAGCACGGTTCACCTTCGCTGGTCACGGCTTCTCACTAGAACTCCGTGATCTACCTCTCGAAGTTAGTCACTAGTGTGAGCATAACAATTATCAGTATACAGTTGCGGAGATTTTTGAGTTTCACTGAAATCATGAACCAATCAATGTAAGCTGGTTGCGCAATATAGTGGATTGATTGAAGTTAGACGTAAACACCGTTGGATAACGGCTCAATGGTCTAGAGTTGAAGCGTTTGCGCTCGAGACCGAAGGTCCTGGGTTTGACTTCAACGTGCAAAGCCGTGGATGCACACTGCCGAGGAGGATCACTCGAACGAAACGGAGATTCATTGCTTCCAAGTATTCAATGGTAGTCTAACATTGGTAGATTCATGATTTCAGTGAACTGAGCATTCTACACAACCTTATACTGAAAATGAATCTAAGCTACAAAGTATTAAATCTTAACCACTATAGAATTAACGTTTCTCGTAAAAATAATGGTATTGAACATTTTAGAAACTTTGTGTTAAATTTATTTTTACCACACGAAGTAAATGAAACTTTGCTCTACTTCTGTATCATTTTCTCTTTCTTTTGAACCATTTACAGTTGATTTAATTATCTAGATTTCTCAAAACAATAAATAACCACTTCCAGAAACAATCAACTGAATACTTCTTTCTGTCTTTTATCTGCCATAGTAAACTCACGCTTTGTAGATTCAGGGCTTTCTGTGAATCCTTGGACAGATACTGAGTTTTTCTCATCAAGCTGTGATTTAGGAAGAGCTGTTAAACAGGAAGGATAATTTCGATGTTCGATGAATGTCAACTGGTTTGCTTCATTAATTGCATCGGAATACAAATGAGCACCAAGATTTGAGTAACTTAAAAGATTAGCCTTATCATTAGCTTGCTTGAGTGCTGCTGTTACTGATTTACATGCAGGACCTTCAGAAATAAATAAGTGCGAACACAAAAACAAGAGGCAAAATATTTACTAATAATCTTAGACTACTTTAATTTATTAAGTAGTAATAAATGTAATTTAAATATATATGAACGTTTGTTAAATTTTAAACCAGTAGTTCGACAGAAATTGGGCACCGAGTATATTATGAAGACATAAAGTGTAAAACTGATATTCCGGTGAACCAAGTAACTGAAATATAAGTAATCTTAATGCTTCATCCAGCTGACTAGTCTGGACTTCTTCAGGGAAAGTTTTATTTAAATGAAATTTCTACATTTCATTGGAAGTTTTTCCAAACAGTGACATCAAGCACGACAGGACTTCTTTAAGATCACAGATCAGACATCACTAAGTAAAGACAATATTTGTAAAGTGTTCTAAACTTCTGATAACGTACAGATGTTCTATTTATTGTTAATTTTTTTTAAATAAGTGAATTTGTCAATTCGTTCCAAACAGTTGACCATTTATTGCTAAATAGTAGATTGTCCTCTATCTAGCTTTTTCTCACTGGCTAAATCTGTACCTTCGAGCAAGAATAACAAAATGTAAGATATTTTATTAATCCTAGTATATGCTGATCCCTACAACCCATCCTTCCTAATATATGAAGCATTCATGCTTGCAAAGTTCCAAGTTATAATTAAAAACAGTTTTTGGTTGGGATCGTGAATCGACCAACGTTAGACCATCATTGAAAGTCTGGAATCATCCTGTGACCGCTTTGTTCTAGTGTGGAACTTGGCAGTGCGCATCAACGATTCCGCTCGTAGGATTCAAACCCGAGATCTTCGGTCTCGCGTGTAAGCGATTAACCCCTATACCACCGAACCAGCATCCAACAGTGCTAATGTCTAAGTTCAACCAATTCACCAATTCAATTGTTTGACCATCTATTTTCTGAGGTAGATACCTGTCTCTACCTGACATGGATTAGCCCCACTGATCACGGCTTTTCATCAGAACTCCGAGAATTCCCTCACGAAGCTAGTCACTAGTGAGCACATGGTTTCCAATGGTGGTCTAATATCAATTAATTCATGATCTCAATCAAAAACTTAATAATCTCCACAATCCCTAATTGATAAAAACAGTTTTTGTTAACTGATTGCAGTATATGAAATAACGCTTATGGATAATTAAGACTATCTTCGGATTATTTAAATCTATGAAGTTGAAAATTCAAATCATCAGTAGATCTGCTAAATATTTATCAATTCATTTATAACAACCTTGTTTTGAATTAATAACGGAGGAATATATTAAAATTTCACCTAGTTACTGGACTCACGATTTCATATTATATACCATTTAAACGATCGCGAATTTGTCGATTAACCGACAGCTAGTCTTCTTTTGAGCGAACTCATTTACTGAGACATTCAATTATAATTTTAAGCTAGTTTTGTTCACTCAACACAGATATCATTCAAAACCAAAGTGCACTGGATAACATTTATTGATTGTGTAACATTTTGTTTTGGATTAGTTTTATTGTAATATTTTGTTTGTTTTATTTTAATGATACATTTCTTTACTGAATAATTAATTCAAGTAAATCAGTGTACTACTAAGAAATGAAAAAAAATCTTCAATTTTGAATAGATAGATATATTATCATCTACCAATAATGTTTGTCGTTCTATTTGAGTCGAGTTATATCAACCTTAACTCTAGTCATATCATAGTATTTCGTTTTCACATTTAGATCAAAGATATCACATTACTGTCTAACATTCAACCTAGAAAACTCCTAGGTTAGGTTTAATGAGGCTCCTGATATACAAATGTTAAAACCATTTTGTTTGTTTAAAACAAAATTTGTGCTTAAACTTAATCTGCTCCATTGATATTGTTTTATTATCCACAAGAGTGTTATTCATATTGTTTTTCATGTCATTTTCCTTATTGTCTCTGTTTTTCACTTATCTTTTTATTTGTCTAGTCGGCCTTTGATTTTTCATATTTAAATGCCTTAGAAAGTTAATGCGTGATAAGAATTTCCGAAATATATTACACTAATATATTATATAATTTTGATTAATTATCTTCTCATTACATTATTTAAATTTATGGAAACGATTAAATGTTAAAATGACTTTTATTCACAGTTGAATAGAATATGTTAAAAAACTTGTTTATAAGCAAAGCAAAGGTGGATAGTGGCTAGCAGTACGAGCCTATTTGAAACGCGTCAGCTGGATGTACCTGCATCTCAGAGATGATATCCACTCCGGGGCTCGAACCCATTACCCTTCGTTTTAAACGCCGCTTCGTTATCCACTTAGTTACTAAGTGCTGATAGCCACCTGCTTGTGCAACGGGGTGAAGTTTTAAATTTACTTAATATTGCTTACTTGTATTTTTCTATTGAATTTTAAAAAATTGTTGTTTAAAATAATGATAATAATACACGATGTGGTTTTAAAAACTTTCTCACTTGGCGGCATTACTGGATATTTAATTCTTCCTAATAACATAGGTGAACTAAGCTGTAATTGATTTTCATAAAATGATTTTCGTTCGATCAAATTAACGGTTATCTCCTAGAATAAAATAAATATGAGTTGTTTATTTCTTCTAAATTATCTAATTAATTAATAGTCGATCAATAAATAGTCTTATTCTAATATGCGCTACAACATTGACAGTTACAAAATCTCTATTGGTTATATGGATCTTGATGTTAGAATAAAAGACATCTAAATTTAGTCAGTCAGCTACAACGTGGGACCAGGCACATATATGTATCGATCCAAGTTGCCATACCTCATTAGCACATTAAGATGAACACCGGATTCATAGAAGTAGGTAATTCAATAGTAATTATATATCAAAGAAAGACTGCATATAAGGATGGTTTATTTATTTATTTATTTGAACACATAAATACTGGTACAAGAGAGCGCCAATATATATGTGAAGCGATTTTAATCTCATAGTATAAAGGAAGACAGAGAGTGCATGCACCTGCGTCATTGTGATCGATTCTGAGCCATGTCACCCAGAGTCTTCAACCATTAGTTACAACAGTCACGCGGATCAAAATCAAGAGCTGTGCATACATTTAGTTCCCCTGATAAGTTCAAACACAATATAAACAATATGATTTGCAAAATTAAATTTAATTAATCATTATTAAACACACTTTTTGTTATGTCTCAATGAGTAGAAAAATTGTATTTCGGACGTTTCGCAACTTAATGTAAGCCGCTTCTTCATAGTAATTATTTATTTATTTATTTCAACACATAGATAATGGTACAAAGAGGCACCAAATACATATGCGCCACACAAATCTCATTCGATATGTGTGTGAGGGCTGTGATACTGCCCGGGTGCCCAAACTGAAGCAGGTGGTTATCTTAGGGGGCCACACCCCGAGCCTTCGACCTGAAGGTCTGATCCACAAGGCAGTGGAGCATCGTAAGGAGATGCAGTCCCATGGAAGCCGGTGACCAACAATTGGTTCATTCGCCATTTTTTCCCGCAGGATACTGGAGCCCATGTGCACCATTGGTTTGGAATCCGGTTAAAGCGCCGGACATTCGCTTTTCGTCCTCTCATTTTCGTAAACAACACCCCCGCCACGAGAAGGCAGTGAGTAGGACTTCCCTGGCAGAGGCTATATACGCGTGGTCGTGTGAGAGTATTTCGAGAGGGAGAGCGGACTCTCCCCACTCTCGGCCGTACCAGGGCATTTGGAGGCACCAGGGCATTTGGGTATTTATTTACTCTGAAGAAGTGGCTTGCGCTGAGTTACGAAAAGTCAGAAGTACAATTTTTCTACCCATTGGAATATGACAAAAAATGTAGGTATTTCTACCTCTCTACATAATGCTCAATTTATTTGAAACTATCAAGTCGAAACATGGCATTGATACCTATGAATTAATCATTCTCCTTATTAACTCCAAATGTTAATATATATATATATATATATATATATATATATATATATATATATATATATATATATATATATATATATATATATATATATATATATATATATATGAACCGATCACGTATAGGATAACAGGTTTCGGATTTTTGCGCGAAATTCATTCATCCATTTGGATAAATAGAGTTTTGGCATTATAGCTTATGTCAGTTCGTGATGAAAACCCGAAATCTAACTCGTAACCTTGACTGTCAACTGCATATTATAATTGTAATTCCTCACACAGGTTTATAACCCTCATTTGGTCGTAGTTATTGAGTGATCACTCTCACGGTCAGTCTAGTGTCGCTCCAAGGTCGTCCATAAATTAAAGTCTTACCAAACAATCTACTACTACGAATCATACACTATCCGATCGTAAACTAGATAATCATAATTCTTAATTAACAAACAATTATTCACTTAAATTGAAGCTTCCACGCTTGATGTGAATGTTCTTACATTTTGAAATTCTTGAACGATTGGTAAAATTTCTTTCATCCATGCATCTACTGGTAAACGATAAACTTCTAACCAAATTTTCGAATTAATTGAATCTGTCGAAATTTGATATACGTACATTTATATATAATACTAATTAAATTTAAGTTTTGTTTAATGGGTATATAATAATAATTTTTAAATGAATGAAATATTTTGTATACATTTAATGAGTATCAGGTTTTGTGGATATTATAGTAATTTAGTAGTTGAATTCGTGAATCACTTGAAGCTAGATCACCATGGAAAATCTGGAAGCACTGGAAGGCCGTCTTATCCTGGTACGGGACTCCTCAACAGTGCGCATCCACGATCTCACCTAGCAAAATTCGAGCCCAGGTCTTATCGGTCTCGCGCGCGAGACCGCTGATCTGACCGACATCAAACGGTGTTAATGTCTAACTTCAACTAATCCACGAAATTAAACAACACACCCACCATTGCCTTCAGTGAGTTACTATCTCACAACAGACCTAGTTGAACTCCACTGGTCACTGCTTCTCACTAGAACTACAGGAAATACCTCTTGAGGACCGTCACTAGTGATTATATGTTGAATAATACATGAGGGGTCTTGTGGATATTATTGCAATTTTAATAGTTGAGATCATGAGTCAATTTAAGCTCGACCACCATGGAAAACCTGGAAGCATTGGAGTAAACAATGGGATAAATGTAAAACAATTATTTGGTTATTTTTTTTAAACAAAGCAATCGATTGTAATAAAGACAGTGGCTTTCTAGTCTCAGATAGACAAAGTAAGATCCATCTTCGTGAATTATTAGTTGAAATTTAAACTTCACGGTTAATTAGGCTTAAGCTTAAGACACAAGTAAAAGAATTTTGATCAAGATTCAAACTCAGAACGTTCAAACCGTATAAAAATTTTAAAATAGCGTAACTAGTATGCGCTAACATGTAAAACAATTAATAAATTTATGGTTGACCAACAACGTATGAGATTTTTATAGCGAAATCTTTTGGATTTATTGAAATGGAAAATTTATTGGAATAAATCTTTCATTGAAACTCAGAAGTAATGCTTCAGAGTTATAATGGGTAGACGGATAGAGTTTAGTGTGAATATTACCACTAGAATAAGGTACATTGTGTTGATGAACCCAAGAAAGGTACAGATAAGCCTTCTGTATTCTACGGCTAACCACATTCCAAAGTTATCAAGTTTCTTAGTTATTCATTTGAGGTTAGTTGTTATATGAGTATAACCGGATCTAGAATAGCAAATGTTCAAACGGCCAGTCAAATAAAAAAACTTTAAAAAATTAACAAACATGGTTCTCTATATGGATGAACATTAAAATATGCATCAATTTTAATTCTAACAGTGTAGTAAACAAGAACTCGGATGAGGAAAACCAATTTGTTATTCAATGCAAAATTACACAGCGGCCTAGTAAAAAATATGAAAATCATACATTAAGTACATCATTTCCATATCTTTATTACGTTAGGCTCTACACACTCCACTATGCCTTTAATTCTGTTGTTATTTTGATTGCTCTGCGATTTCTTTTCTGTTCTCTTCAATTAAATCTTCTGATGCCAGAAATCCTACTTCCACATGGTGCTACATACTACGTATATCTGTCAGCATAAGTAACATTCACTACATCATACCATTAATGTGTATTGTTTTAGTGATGTGTTTCCAAAATTTAAGTTGGAAGTTAATTTTCTAGATCAACACAACTTGAGTTATATGTTATGGATAGATTTACAACTTATATATATATATATATATATATATATATATATATATATATATATATATATATATATATATATATATATATATATATATATATATATATATATATATATATATATATATATATATATATATATATTACCTTCATTTAAAGAGATAAAATATTTTCCACACGGTGAAATCTTCCCATTGAGTGCATGATATAGTAAACCATCGGATGGTAAGTTGATTTGCTTTATTGGAATGAATAACCCTTCAACAAACATCACAAGCCTTATTTGACCTGAAGAAATGAGATTTTGTAAGATAAGCGATGAAATTTTACAAAATCAAATGATAAAGTTGTCAATAGTTATTTACGAATGTGAGTTAAAAGAGATATGTGGAAATTTAATTTATTTGCTGTGACTGATGTAGTTTAAATATTTTTAAAGTGATCAATAGCATTAGATAGTTGTCTTGCAATTTGAGTTGTACCACTGAACACCAACCTAGTGGCTTCAATGGTTAGCCACTCTCTATGAAAGCCGAAGGTTCTGAATTCGAACCCTGAAGGGGTCATGAATGTGCACTCACATACTAAGAGGAAACAATTGTCCAGAGTTCCTTAGTATTTACTTGTACCATAACTGTGGCTAATCTGTATTAAATACACTTTACAAAATATTTAATTACCCAATAATTTCAAACACTAACCATATACAACATTTTGTATTTAACTTTAGATCTTTGACAAGATTATCTAGTTATGTGAATCAAAATAGAAGCAATAGTTAGATCCACTAGTAAATGTTTAAAAGTTGAGTAACCTAGGCCTCTCATCATCTATTCACTTTATCGTGACAATTATTACTAAACATAAGCACATGCTTTGAGGAGATCAACAATTTTTTTGGATAAAACACTCCAATCGCGGACGGAATGAAACTATCCCATTAAAGTAACGATTACTTGGACTCAAATTCTAGTTTACATATATACCACATTAGGTTGATGAAATTTTTTCCATCCTCTTATTAATGGTTCATTTTAATTACCAAACAACGAATGCGCATCTTTGCTGAAAAACGTTTTAATTCCTGATGGTAAAATGTACAATAACAGTGATTAAGTCATAAATTTTGTATGTTTACTGTATATCACCTTTCAAAAAATAAACACATAAAGGAATAACATATATTAAAATTCTTATTTCTGTCAGAATAAAATTTATTTGACGGGTTTAAACTACACAGAAGTTGTACTATAAAATAACGCTGAAGTCGAAGAAAAATTGTTCTCATTTAAACCCAATTCTAACTGAAATGTTCTGGGGTCTATGTTCATTAAAGTATTCAGTAAAAAAAATTAAAAAAGATAATTATTTCCTCCTGATTGTGTTCTCTATTTAATTTCAGTAAATGTTATGAACTAATTTCATCTCGGACTAATCCCTCTAAAAACCCATAGAACATATCTGAAGATAAAGATAACCGAATGAACGAACTAATCTTACATTTCTATTTGCGTTTTCATAAAAATGTTGTTTCGGATTGATATTTGATACCTATATATGAAACAAGAAGGTACTATTTATCTGCAGATCACAAATATAAATTCTATTCCAAACATTTTTCATTGCTTACTAACTATTTATTGGTATAACTTAGAAACAAACTTCTGCGACTTATATAGCCATCATTATCTTTTGTCATCATCGAACTCTCCCTTACCGATTATCTCTGTTCACTAAAACAGATAAAGTGGATTTATGTAGATGCGATAGTGATTGTTCGTGATGTTAATCTACTCTCTCTCTCTCTCAGCATCTTAACTGATGGTACTGATCAGTGTTTCGCATTATATTTTCGCTGATTATTAATCTCCTTAGATCTAAACTATGTCAAATCCATGTCGGCATTTTTACTACAAATAGAAAACTCTCCTTGTATTATTGCTCTTTATAATCACCTTTCTAACTGGAATAATGTAGTTTCACTTACATTTTTGAGTCTAGAGTAGAACCAACTATCCAAATGTAAAGTATTACTATATAAAGGGCCAATAATATTTAGTGGATATTCAAAAAACAGAAGACGGATCAACTTTTAAATAAATCACAATACTTCAATCATTAGGGAATGATAGAAATCAAGGTATTTTGATCAGTGATACGAATAGAAAATAATTTACAGGCAACAAAGTATCTTTTAGATGGTATGTAATAATATCTTCCAGACAAGGAAACGTTTAGTCACTTGTAAGCAAGAAGAGATTCAGTAACATACGGTCATTAAGCAGAAGCATTTGTATAACACTGTAATTATTCAGTCAAACCAACAAGTTAAAAACTTAACTAAGTTAATAATCAAACGTTTACCATTCAATTATAAATACTTATCTTATCTGTAACAAAACCATTACATAATATTTATATTACCTGAGTCATTTATAATAAGCTGCAAAATAACATTTTTATCGTATTGAATTGTTTTAAATGTACGTATTATGCTGCATCTGTCAAGTCCATTCAAATACTTCCACTCCGAAATCAATTTCAAATTGTTTACATCATATACAATAATTTGATTTTCAAATATTTTAAATAAATACTGTCCGACAATTGTAAATATGTGAATATTCTCAATGTCCTATTATTAGTAATTTTTTGTTAATAACGTTGTTAAAAACAAATTTCGTTTCCAACCTACCACATTCACATCCAGTTGTTGTAAACATGATTGTTGGAAATTGAATTGCTCACTTTTGTATTTCTCTTTTGTTTCAATTAAATTCCATGTTTCCTCAAATATGCTCCATAATAATTTGTCTAACATTTTAAATGGCATCGGTAAATCATCGAATGTTAATTCTGGATCAGTGTTGACTGTATCTTGAAATGATGATGAATCCATTAGTGAAATTGAATGATTTAACTTCTGTTTTTATTTTCTAATTAAATAGAAGAATGTTAGGTAAATGATATGCATTTGTCAAGCTAAGTAACACTAAACTTCAAAATACACTGCTATTAATCCATAAATCAATTTATAAATTACCATTATTTTCCAAAATAAGCTTGGTCTTTGCACTTCAGTTAGTAGTTGACTAAGTCCATATTGTTGAAAGTAACTAGATTTACCTGGCTACACCAAAGTGATCAGTGTTTAGCTAATCTACGAATAATATTGAATTTTTAATACTAGTCTCATCGATTCGAATGTTTTTAATTTTAACTAGTTTCGGGTACCACTGAACAACTTAAGTATGTATAACTCCATATTTTAAGAAGTTAAAAAACATTCGTTTAACCTCAATCTATCTCAGGTGAAGTACTCAAAAAACTGACTAGAAAAGCTTTTATTTCTAAAAATAACAAATTTAGAGTATATGGCAAAGTGTCAGCTTCATCTTGACAGCCCACAGTTCACATGCGCTACTTTTATCAGCTTACTTCTAGCCAGACAAGCAATTTTTCTTTTGTCTATTTTCCTCTTCGAACAAATATACTGGTTACCCACGACCGATATCCTCTTTTTCTTTATGAACTTTCGACTAGATCTTCATAAAATGTCATGTGACTTATTTTAAACTAGACGTCGATCTCCTTATTTTCTACTGGAGCCGGGTATTTAAGGCCTTTTGTTTACTTTATATAATTATTTCTTACAACACTGTTGTGCCTTTTGACAATGAGTCGCTATAAATTGTTTTATATTCCCAACTCGACTTATTTATTTAGGTTGATATCATTTTTTTGAAGAGATACAGAACGCTACCAGGAAAACGTAATAAAGCAGGAAGCCCATGTTCTTTTTCATCATTTATCTGCAATTTCACGAAATGTATTGAAAGACGATCAAATTTGATCCTTATGGTGTTGTTTTTTAGGACAATTAATTTCATAAACACCCTTCATATTTTCCATGTATGAAAACTTACTGTAGCACATGTTAAACGGTGTGCTAAATTTATCTGTATGATAAGATGAGGACAATGATGCTATACAGACACCCATCTGATATTTCAATTTAATATAATACATTCCATTTATTCACTCAGCTTAATTGTATTTTTGATTGATGAAATGTACTTTCTTCTTCAGTTAAATCGTCTAATGTTCTTTCTCGATTGCAGCCACTACATTACTCAAATGCTGGTGAATTGATGTATAGGTCGCAGAAACCGTCATTACAATTCATCTATCTAAATTTTGTTGAAAGCAGTGTTTGAAAGTGAAAGCATGTATTGGAAAGATGTAAACTTCAGTATGATGTACTGAATACAAAATTATTTTCAGTATTAATCTTCAGAAGTAATACACAAAGGTGTAAAACTTTCAAGTTAATTCATTGTTGTGGATTGCAAATTATAGCAAGTGTTCTTATAGCAAGTGTTCCACTTAAATCTTTTATACCAATGAAAACGATTAGACATAAAGTCAGTAGAGACTCAAGTCATGACATTGTATTAGTTTTAGTCTAAAAAAGCCTTGAGTGTAGGCCGTGCGAATCACACTTTAATGAACGTCTGGCTTCGTTTGACAGATATACGATCCACATTTTAAGTGACTTTATGGTACCTTGTACTGATTAAAAGTACCTCTAAGTGTGGTCATCGACGAACCAATTTTCTCAAGTCAACCATTTTCTTAGTCCTTACTCAGAACATAATTTGTAAAACATCGGCGCGTATTTTAACACTTCGAATCAGTTCTTGGTCCGTTCCAAAGCATCAGTCAAACATGCTATCCTCCACACGTCCAAAAAGTGACCATAAAGTCGTTATATTTGGATTCCCCTCATTACTGGTCTGCCAAAATGACAGGCCGACCTTTTTAAAGATTTAGGAATCTGCTCTGAAACCCCAGACGGAGCTTGAAGGCTCAGATTGCAAGGTCTACTTTTTATTGTCTGAACGTAAAGTATTATTACATGGAATCTGCCGTGCCACTTTATAGCAGGAGCAGGGAATAACTAAGATTTGCAAGCTATTCAATCTTGTATTAACACTGCTCAGCTGAACTGAGATATAAGTAATACTTATAAGTGTGACACCAACTTCATGTACATCGAACACGCATGTGGCATTACCGTAAAATAATTAAAGCATCTCTACAATTAATCATAAATTTGAGGTTAAATCAAATTAAGCTTTGAACACGTCCATCTACCAAATTTCGGTTGCAGATAAATGTTTGTAGTGCCTTTAGTATCAGATAAACATTTCGTAAATATTAGCTACACTGTGCATAACCAGCAAGTTACACGGTTTTTTCTTGAATTCTCACTCTAGTCCATCCATGACTGCTAGAGTTCTTTTTAGACAGATGCAAAAATTTTAATATTTTCAGCCGCAATCTATACAAGTGCTAATTCCACAGTCCTAGAACAGTACGAGAGTATGAAAGTAACTCTTACAAAGATAAAAATGCTATGAAACATTCTCACTATTATAGCATTGATGAGATCCAAGAATGGAGATCATACGCTGGTTCCAACATCCTATCTGACAGATAGTTTTGCCCTCCCAGAAAGATTTAAGAATAGTCTTAAATATGTGTTTATCTGATATGCTTAGAATATCACATGATAAATAATTATGAAATTCATATCTCTACACTTTATCACCACAAATTTAATAACAATACATTCATGATATACAAGACACTGATAAATGACATCTAATTTGATATAATCTCTCTTAGTCTTCCAGCAAGTTTGTGGCAAAAAACATAATACAGAGGGTAAGTTCACAATGCAAGAGCGATCAATAATACTATGCAATGTATGTGCTAGGGGATACTAAAGTATGAAGATGAACCAACCAGATTTCAGATAGTCTCTTGAATCCGTGAACGAAATTCATTCATCTATATGGCTAACCAGGGTTCTTGCGTTATAGCCTACATCACTCAGTAATGGAAACTTGGTACAAGTAAAATATAAAAGCGAATCAACCAGATTTTGGTCTAACATTCATTCCTGCAATGAAGCTGATACCAGTTCGTAACTAACACCCTAATCATTCGTATATAGATATTCATTATTTGCGTTGAACTTGTGTACCAATCAAAGCTGTATTACCTTCTCTTCATAATTCGTCTCATATACAAAAATTGTTTTCTATGTCGCCGCACGCTATTTAAAAAGGACAGTGGCATTTTTCCTAGCTGAGTAAATTTGTTTTGATCGTTTATTACGTATCAAGACTACTGTTTTTACTTTAATTGAATTTATTTCAGTTAAAGTATTCGACTAGAGTATCGTTTTTACTGTTCTTTCAATTAGTTTTGTCGTTGGTACTCCTGAGTACCTCTTTTTCAACTGTATCTGCTAGTACTTTTGGTCCTAGCAATCTACAGCCCTTCACATTTTTGGTCATTGATTATTTTTTTGTTTCTGAGTATCATCGCAGCTTGAAAAAAACCCTCCCAAATGACCGGACAGTGTAAAAAATTAGTTGCCAACGTCCAGGTTGTCGTTATCCTGTTGAAAGCGGCATGCAGTGCGACGAGTGCAAAGGCTGGTACCACGAAGTTTGCACGAACTTAACGCCTGCTGCTTTCAAACGGTTCAGTAAGAAGGGTTGTGTATGGCTTTGTCAACAGTGCTGCTCGGATGCAAACAGCTTGTTAACCGAGGCCATCTCACTGGTTGATGCTGCAAAGAAGTGTTTTAGCAAGCATAGTCGGAACGCGTCAAACAGCACTCGATCTGTCGACACGCAAACCAACGTGAAGGAAACTAATGTTAGTCGGATGATAGATGACTCACACCCGTCAAAGAAGGAAAAGCAGTCTTCAAAGGGGCCTGCCTTAAACAAAAGCTCAAGAAAAGCAGGGTCTTCTGTTCCCCGTCTCCCAGATGGGATCCAACAGGAAACACCTGGAAGCCACAATCGCAAGGCTCGATCGGTTTCAAACGGTAAACATAACCCGACCTCTCAGGCCGTCGACAACCCTCCAAAATCCAACACTAGGTTTGACGCAACTGTTATTGCTTCTACCAGCACCGTTGACGAATGGGTACAGGTTTTGAGGAAGAAAAGTAGGGATATAAAAAGGAGCCCTGCCCACGTGAAAGTAGTTGAAAAATCGAAAGCTGATCATAGCGACAGATCAGCTATTTTTCATAGAATCAAGGAGAGCGAGAGCTCTGAACCTAAGTCTCGTTTTAAGCATGACATTGTACCGATTAAGCAGCTGCTTAATCAACTCATGACTCAAAATATGACCGGGGTCACCTTGCTAAAGGTGTACAGACTAGGGAGTCTAGCGGACTCGAAACCAAATCATTCCAGACTGCTTAAAGTAGTATTCGGCTATTCGAACAAACGCGACCTAATTTTACAGAATGGACACAAATTAAAGGGTTCAGGAGTCTTTATCCGAAAGGACCTACCGTTGGCAGACCGTGTTAAAAGACGGGAAGCCGAGAAAGAACTACAACTTAGGTTAGACGCTGGCGAAAAGGACCTGAAAATTGTAAATTTTCGGGTTGTAAGACTTCGACAGAGAATGATGCCGAAGCCACTCTGGGTGAAGCATGAAGGCACTTAAACAGGCTTCGGATCTGTTACACCAATGCACGAAGCGATCGGAACTAGGTGTACAGATTGACTCTACAAAGCCAGACGTAAGCGCAGTAACAGAAACCTGGCTGACACAGGCTATAGATAGTATGGAACTTGATTTCGAGGGTTTTACGTTAGTAAAGGCCGACAGAACACAAAAGCGCAAAGGAGGGGGGGTAGCTCTATTCATTAGGAATGCTATCCCATTTTCCATTATCGATAGTGTATCCCATGAGAGTGGGACGTGTGAATTAGTTAGTCTTAGCTTAAAATGCAAGGGACAGGAGCTGCTGATTGGTTTGGCCTATCGCAGTCCAAGCTGTGAGGCAAATCAGATCCTGTTAAGCAGTCTCAATACTTGATCCCAAAGTGGTAGATGTCTCACCCTAGGGGACTTCAATGCACCTATGGTAGACTGGGAGAATCTGCGAACTGAATCGTCGGAGAATTCTTTCGAGCGGGAACTAGTTTATGGGGTTATCAAATGTGCTCTAGTGCAACATGTGAAAGAAGCGACAAGGTACGATCCGGACACTGAATCATCCTTATTAGATCTTATACTGACTCACTATGAGGATGATGTTGCGAACCGCCATCATATACCACCCCTAGGTAAAAGTGACCACGGAGTTTTAACTTTCGAATTCCATATAACTGCCAGTCACGAGGACGCGTCAGTCCAGTCCAGACCCAACGTCTGGAAAGCAAACATACCAGACATCATGCACTCAGCATCGTTAATAGATTGGACAATAGACCCAAAGTCCTCCATTGAAACGGCCTGGGACGCATTTCGAAATTCATACTTAAAAGTTACCACACCTCACATCCCTTGGACTATACCAAAGAGGCCGAAAAACTCACCACCATGGTTCAGTAGGGAGGTCCGTATCCTTCTCCGTAAGAAAAGGAAAATTTGGGATAGATTTAGGTTATTGGGGACTGATGAGTCAAAACCTCAGTATCGAAAGGCTTGGAATACTTGTGCCTCGACCCTCCGTAAGTCTAGAAAATCGTACGAAGGAAAACTTGTTAAGGAATCCATAGAATGTCCTAAACGCTTTTATTCCTATATAAACCAGAGGACAAGGAGAAAAGGAAATATTCCTGCTCTATGGGGAGACAGTACTGCTTCATCATTAGTGGAGGACGACTTTGGTAAGGCTCAAGTGCTCTCGAACTACTTTAGCAACGTATATACCATAGAAGCGCCCTTCCCGTCAGCGTATACTGATCCCCCATACATGCACTGGATAGCGTGACCATTAAAGAACTCGATGTCTTTGGTCTGCTAAATAAGCTGGACATAGGTAAATCCACGGGGCCCGATGAATTACATTCTAGGCTACTGAATGAATTATCTAACTTCGTTGCAAGCCCTTTAAGTACATGCTTTAGCCTATCCGTTACGCAGGGTCGTTTACCGAAAGACTGGAAAATCGCCATAGTAAGTCCTGTCTTCAAAACAGGTACGAAACACAAACCTGAGAACTACCGCCCCGTTAGCCTAACTAGTGTTGTTGTTAAAATCTTAGAAAAGATTATTCGGAAGGAGCTGTTTAATTATCTCGATAAAAACCGGGTCCTCTCGGATAAGCAGCACGGCTTCAGAATAGGTTATTCTTGTCTCACTAACTTATCAGTGGATTGTGAAAGCTGGTGCGCTCTTAAGGACCAAAAGCTACCCGTAGACGTCGTCTTCATTGATTTCAGTAAGACTTTTGACAAAGTTCCGCACAACCGGCTGTTATATAAGTTAAGAAAAGTTGGGATTGGAGGCAATTTATTGATGTAAATAAAAGACTTCTTAGTTGGGCGTCAACAAAGAGTAAGGGTGAACTGAAAAGTTATTCAGCTGGGAAACTGTGCTTACTGGAGTGCCCCAGGGTACAGTTTTGGGGCCAGTGCTATTCCTTTTGTATGTAAATGACCTTCCTCGTCTCCTATCATCATCGGTCTTGCTATATGCTGACGATGTCAAGATATGGAAAACGATACGATGTAAGAGTGATAGCTTAGAACTTTAAAATGACCTGAAGAAGTTATCTGAATGGTCTCAAACATGGCAGTTGCCGATAAATACTTCCAAGTGTGTTGTGATGCATATCGGTCATCAAGGCACAGATACATACACGATGACTAACACTGAGCTACCTGTCGTCCAGACATATAATGACTTAGGAGTTATCGTTAGTCAAGACTTAAAGACTACCGCACACTGCCGTGCAATAGCCGCCAAAGGTTTTAGAACCTTATGGTCAATACGTAGAGCTTTTAGTCATGTCGACGTTAAAACGTTTTTGACTCTGTATACAGTGTTCGTTCGTTCTAAACTTGAGTACTGCATACAAGCAGCTAGCCCCTGCTTAAAAAGACAGTGAGCTTCTGGAAAAGGTTCAGAGAACGGCGACTAGGCTGATTACCGGAATAGCAAAGCTTCCGTATGAATCTCGACTGGCCAAGCTGAACCTTTTCTCGTTGTCATATTGCAGAATTAGAGGCGACTTGATTACAGTCTACAAATTGCTTAGTGATAAATTTGCACCTGATATGCCCTCATTTTTCTTGTCTTCCAAAACAAAGAATTTACGAGGACACTCCAAAAAAGTTCATAAGCCGATAACAAATTACTTGTCAGCTGACTATCGACTTTCCCATCGAATCATCAACGAGTGGAATTCACTACCTCAGCACGTGGTTGAAGCTCCATCCGTCGACTCTTTCAAAAGAAAGTTGGATCAACTGAGAGACCACCATTGCCAGAACTAACATAGGCCATCGAGCCTCCTGTCCTTCCCAAACCCAAACTGAAACTGACACTCTTCACTTCCATCAAAAACCCTAAACCTAATTTCTTGAGAAGTTTTGCAAAAATCTTCCAACAATTGCTGATTGCAGTTCTATTTCAGAATTTAAGTGACGAGAATAGTGCTCCTTATTAATCACTGGGGGACGGTTAACTTGTACGCTTTTATTGTTCCCGTTTTCCATATTGTTGTCTGTTTTTGTTAGACGAACACTTTTTGAACATACATCCACATTCTCAATTGGATCTAGGGAGTTGAAATAAATTAGATGTAGCAGATAAAATATTGTATGAATATTAGTCTTTCCTTTGGAATAAGACAAATTCCTAATAAATATATAAATAGTTAAAAACCCTCACATAAACAAAATCTATTCCCCTTTTATATTGCGGTTAAATATAATCATTTCTGTCGGCTACAATGTTGATATTAGACTGATACCTGGATGTAAATAGTTTTGGAAACTTTAAGTGTAATTCATTTAAATGAATGTTTTTTTCTATACAAATCACTATGTAAATAATGTTGACTGCACTGAAAATTTATTTGACCTGAGGAATTAATGGAAAACCTTAGTAGACTATTCAGAGTTAACTTTGGATAAAAATATGGGAACCGAGCGTAAGCTAAATTGCTTGACATTTAGACTGTAAACAATTCGTGCGATAGGTTAACCAATTAGTGTAAACTTATCAGATTGATAGACAATTTTGCGTCAAATTATGGGTAAAAAAGACTCTTTGTTGTTCAGTTAAGCGAAAGTTATGATACTGACTTTGAGAAATTTCCTACAGGGGTTAAGAAAAACTCAACAACTGGATCACATCAACACTATTTGTGAAGTATCCACGGTATTTCTCCAAAGTTCGTCTTTACTTCCCCTATTTTGTTTTTTATTCTGACTCTTAATCGTAATCCCTACAACTAATTCTTAACCTTTATTTGATCCAGGCAGGTGGTCGAGAATTCACAACTTGTTTAAAGCCACTCAATGTTGTTCCTTAACTCCAGTTCCATCCTTTCAATCTAATATCAGAAGGGATTATACATAACACATATATGTTGTCCTTCCCCATTCCCCCTATATTGGGGAAAATTTGGTTCGGTTAGGGAAAGTTTGGGAAGTAGCACAAAAATCGCAAAATTTTGCTACGTCTGGGGAAATCTCCAAAATGTTTGGGGAAATTCCGAGTTTTCCACAACATTTCCACAGAATCTTGTAATACTTTGGGTTTTTTCTACATAGTTTTGAAGAGACTGCCATATTTGGGAAAAACTCCAAATTTTCTACAAGATAGTGAGATTGAAATCTTATGGGTCTGCAGACCAACTCAAAATAAGATAACAGAACGGTACCTACATGGACGTTTACCCTCCGTGCTTAAAACCACATTCAGGGTTTTCATCATGAACCGGTGTCGACGACACTAAAATATTATAGGGTCAAGTTACCAATTCCACTACATAGTGAGACTATAGTCTTGGATGATAACAAAAGTCAGTAAACTTCAGTTAACTTAATACTAAATAAGCACCAAAAAGTAAAAAAGACCTCTTGCGGTGTTCATAAGACTGAAAATTTGTTACTTGGAAAGCTCCCTCACCATCTCCTTTTAATACTAAATTCTTGCTGTATATAATAGTTACCATAATGTACAACGACCTAATTATTTGGATAAGAAAAACAAACTGATACATGACGTCGAATTGTACACAATATTGAATTTGTCTTCGTTCCTTCCTCTGGTTACTTCCAATGTTTTCGTCACTTCGTTACTTTTACTTATAGGGACCATTTGAACTTATAGAAACGTATATTCATTTTTTTTGTAAAGACAAAAATTTAACCGCATTTTCTCTCTAATTTATCACACTTTATATGTAACCACGTTTTTATTCAATATCTGTTGTTTTTCTGTTTCACTTGTTAAAAAACGATGATGATTGCTACGGCGATGGTTAAAAATATAAAACGTTATCTACGACGTTTGTTCTTCTGCTTCATTGGCCATGGTTTTGATTGAAGACTGTAATAGTGTTATAACATACTTTTAGGCTTTCCGACACCACATTGGACTTTTGGCACGGATTATTATTATATAATACTATTGGACTCTTTCTCATTACGCCGTTGGTGCAATCACTTGCAGAGGAATCTCCGTCAATCAAGTGAACTTAATTTGTGGTTGTTATCTCACGAGGTATCTAACAAGTAATATCCATTCCATAATAACTGTTATTATCTGTTTGTTTAATATACCGTTTGTATCCTAACTATATTTCGTTACCCATGGTTATACTCGCCGAGTTCCTTCGGAAGCCACGAGGCCGATGCCCCTTCTAACAACCAGAGCAAAAAATTTTATAGGTACATGGAACGTTCGAACAATGTGGGAAACCGGGAAGACCAGTCAAATAGCAATGGAAATGAGGAGATACAACTTAGCAGTACTGGGAATCAGCGAAACCCACTGGACCCAAGCTGGACAGAAAAGGCTAAATACGAGAGAGGTGCTGCTATACTCCGGTCACGAAGAGGACAATGCTCCACACTCAGGGAGTCGCTCTTATGCTGTCCAAAGTAGCACGAAATGCACTTGTAGGATGGAAATCTAACGGATCCAGAATCATCAAAGCATCATTCAAAACAAAGAAGGTCCAATGCCACTACAGGTTCTCTTAGAATCAGACTTCATTTTATCATTCTCAGGAATATAATGCGTCTGCAACCGTGCTGTCTATGGTTTGTAACTAGCTCTTCTTGCTTTTCGCTGACACGATGTTCTGTGCAGAAGAATCCTAACAATACTAAGAATCTGTTTTTGTCTGACCAAACTGGAGGAATTCAGAAACTCACTGATGTCTACAGATGTGCTGAATTTGAACATTATCGATTAATGCATGCCAGGGTGACTTCTTTTTAATCTTATAAGCACACATGGCACCTGTTGCTAGTCTTAAACAACTAAGAATTGATATTTTAGAGCACATGTATCCGGTTTATTAAGCACGATTACATCACTGAATCGTCTTGTACTTTCGAACACCTCTGAAGGAATACTATGCAAGAAATTTCGGTGTTGCTCATTTGATCAGAAATTTCTGCTAGGTGAGTGTTCACGAAATACTTATGCGGATTACAAATGTTCATGTTATCTTGCAACTTTTTTATGTCATCCATAAAGTGACAGTAACCATTGTTATCATATAATATTTCGACTTATTGGAATTATAGCACTAACTAAGAGTCCCAGAAATAACGCAATTGAATTAAGAAGACAGGCACAACCGAATGTACTGTATTCGGAATTCAAAATTGTGCAATCAACATGTACAAAAGTATCATTAGTCAATTCAAACACCACATCCGCCACAGCTTAAATAGAAGTATAAGTGTTTGCAATCGGTTGTATGTTTTCTTGTTAAGTTCATCCTGAGTCTGTCCGACATTGTACTGGATGAAAACTTTGTAGTATCTAGAATGTGCTCATTAGTATGGGAATTAACAAACGAAATCGGAACAGACTCACCTGGAATTGTATACAATCAACATATCGGTTTTGTACTGAAATGATTCATATCTCGAATTGGAACCGTAGATTTTTCAACGCTATCCCCCCCACGAAATAATGTTGGGTCTTTATATTCCCAAGTTATGAATAATGTGGCTTCATTTAAAACATATTTCTCACATTGATTAGAGTAAACATTAGAAGTGTTTTTGTGATAAGGATGTACAACAGTTGATATGAAATCATCAGAATTGTAATCGAAACCGAGCTCATTTAGTATTCGTGCTTTGCATTGAACAAGTTTTTCACAAGGAGCAAATGCATTATGAGGATAGGTAATACATATGACATCAGGATTTGATTCTACTGAAATATTTTCGTGAAATTGACTAAGAATGTCATTGCAGAGCAATGGATCATTAGAAATATTAGTATCTATCAAGACTGCCTCAGGTTTTTGATAATGAATAGGTTCATTTAACATATTTTCCTCAGATTTGTAAGAAATTTCATCAGAAATATGTGAATCATTAGGAAAAGTCATACCTGGTACAATAGCATGAGAATTCTGATAAATCGGTTGATTAGGAACTGTTGTCTCACAAGAATTCTGGATTTCATTTAACTCTGAACTGCTTTTTGACTCTACACTGTCTATTGCAATAGTTGATAAAGATAAATCATCATTATAAATACTCGACTCGGTAGAATCAGAATTACAAGACTTAATATTAGTTGCAATAACATGAACATTAGTATTGCAGACTGATTGAATATATCCAATATCATCACATTTAAAGCATTTAGAATTACGAAATTTACATGAATTAAAAGCATGGAACTTGCCACAGGACAAACACTGACCAAACTTGTGCCCATCTTCGTGAAACGCACTGCAACTCCGCAATGAATTATTTGCATAACCTTGAATATGCACTGGATTAGGATAACGTGATGTAGTAGAACTTTTAATGTCCTGATGAATCATTTTAGGAAATCCTCCTTCTTTACTGCAATCAAAATTTGCATACCTGACATGGTCTAGTAGTAATATCTTGAGAGTTGTATAAGGAAGCGAAATGGGTTTTTCCGGCATAGCCAGCGTTCTTAATAAACTGTATGCTTCTTTACCGATGAATGTGAGGAAATATGCCACAATATTAATATCCTCATCATCTTCCTTGGTCATGACCCAGATTTCGAACCTTTCGAAGTAATCCTCAAAAGCTTCAGAAGTTGAATGAATGTCTAACTTTTCCATTGCAGACTCAATCGCGACGCCAATATAATATTTCGACTTATTGGAATTATAGCACTAACTAAGAGTCCCAGAAATAGCGCAATTGAATTAAGAAGACAGGCACAAACAATGTACTGTATTTGGAATTCGAAATTGTGCAATCAACATGTACAAAAGTATCATTAGTCAATTCAAACACCACATATCACCATTTACTAAGAGAGTATCTAACATATCTGCAATGGCGAGGACTGGCATAAGCTTGCCTGTTTCTTAATGAATCGCGTAGCACGAATAGTTGATTGTAATGTTTTATTGTCCCTTTTTCCTACATTCTGCTGGATGCTTGGACTTAGGGGCTTTTGAAATGTTCAGAGGTATGATTAAAAAGTGATTATTGGCAGATGGATTGAAGAAAGTGTAGAATTAAAAACATAGGTTCAAAAGAAGGTGGAGGGCTCAATGTGGTTCGGAAATCAAGGCCAGTGTTTGAATCAAGTGTAAGAGTATCGTGAGCATTAATGAAGATGACAAATGAAAGAGGGCAAAACGACTGGGAGATCTCAGTAGAGATTTAATTTGTAAGCACATGGTTAGATGTATAATAGTATAAAAATGTACATGTCAGATAAATTTTACCCTAGAGATAACATGGAAAGATATTGCTTACATAAATAAAACAGTCTAGATATATCGGTATTCTATATAAAACTCTGAAAATGAGTGGTGTTTGTGGTACATATATGGATTAAATTCCGGCATTAGTTAAAATTGGAGTATGGCAGTATTCAGTATTAAAGAAGATTAATATAGTCTAAAATCAATATACCTTATGACCAAAATATGTGGAGAGGATTTTTGGGTAAATGTAATTAAATACTCATCAAAATTTATGATTTATCCTCTCTTCTTTAGTCTCCAAAGAAGTCTATGGCCTAATTTTCACTTCTTCAAAGTCACAACCATTTTAAGACGTAATATAATGAACAGTCTATCTGTATCAAACGGTCAATGGATTGAAAGGCCTTTGTGAGGAGAAACATTTATTAATAGACCACCGTCACAGTTAACTGGTTAGCTTTAAGCCTTAGTAGGCGATAACTGTGTATGGAGCAATCTTAAAACATATATAGGTACAAGCTCTCCCAGGCTATGTCCAACGATGTTTGAATGCTTGAGTATGGAAACCTCACTTCACTTAGCTTGTATTGCAGAAAAAGTAATGAAGAGAGGTCTTCCAAGTGGATCACGTTCGATTCATCAAACAAAAAGGAAATTCGTTAAAAGACCCAGTAATAGCAGGACTCATTACGAGTTTTAAAAGTGTCACAGAGACTGTCACGAAAATGGGAACGAATCATATGAACAAGAGCAAGTTACAAACTTTCAGACGATCTGCATATAAGTATGTTTTCCCAAATTTTGTGATGTTACATATATCGTTTTTTATTTACATAAGAAACGAGAGTGGACCTTATACGCTTCCCTGGATGACTCCATCAGATATAGGCCTAGGTGATCGGAGAGTCATTGTACTTTACCATCTGTCTATGTTCTGTTAAAAGCGAAGCAAACCATGAGTACAGTGGGTTGTTTATTCCGAAGGACTTTAGTTTGACGAGAAGCCTTTTATGTGGGATGTCATCAAAGGCTATCTTAAGGTCAAAGAATTGGACTTATAAACGGGATCCGTTGTCTTGTTTCAAAGTTATATCATTGAGGTAGTCTACTAGGCATGTATCGCATGACTTGAACCTAAGAAATCCATGCTAGGAGGTCGAAGATGAGATTGTTAGTAAGTAGATGTTGGACTATCACCACTGTAACTACCTTTTCCGCCATTCTAGATACCACTGAAGTTATGTTTATAGGCCGTTAATTTTGAACGTTTGCTTCAGGTCCTGTTTAAATTTTGGGAATGATATGTGTAGTTTTCCAGTCAGTAGGGTAACACGTTGAAGAGAGTGATATCGCGAATAATTTGAGAAACAAAACACGCATATCATCACCTCCACTTTTTAGCATGCTAGATGGAA